TATAGATATAGATATAGATTTACTAGCTTGGGGATCCGGTGGTGCCCGGGTTATTTGAGAAAGGCATTGTTTGTCTGTGCTTCAAGTTTAATCTAGATATAATGTCAGCTACGTTCAGTGGGTGCGGGTGAACTACAACTCCCATAAGCAAGTCCCATCGTCCATGGTCCATCCTCCTCCTAACCGCAGCAGGATGTAGAGTGGATCATGGGGGCTCTGTGTGCCAAGTTTGGTCCAGGTCATTATTTATTGGGGTCATTGTGGGCTCAGGAATTGAGTGAAGGTATTGTGAATCCCATCATCCATGGTCCATTCTCATCCTACGTGCGCCAGGATGTGAAGTGGGTCATGGGGGCTTTGTGTGCCAAGTTTGGTCCAGGTCTCCATTTGTGGGGGTCATTGTGGGCTCAGGAATTGAGTGAAGGTATTGTGAATCCCATCCTCCATGGTCCATTCTCATCCTAAGCGCACCAGGATGTGAAGTGGGTCATGGGGGCTCTGTGTACCAAGTTTGGTCATTATCCATCATTGGTGGGGGTCGCAGTGTTCTGTGGGAGCCAAAGTGGTTAAAATTACTACGAATCCCATAATCCACAGTCCATCCTCCCCTAAACCACACCAGGACTTAAAGTGGGTCATGGGGGTTCTGAGTGCCAAGTTTGGTCCAGGTCCATCATTCATGGGGGTCATAGTGGCCAGTGGAAGTGGGAGCCAATCAGAAAGCTGCCACATACACACATACAAACATTCATTTTTATTATATACATAGATTTACGGTATTTATATTCCGCCCTTCTCACCCAAAGGGGATTCAGAGCAGATCACAGAACACATACACGGCAAACATTCAGTGCCGTTTGTACACTGACAAGACATACAATTGTACATAAATAGAGGTAAATGTAGGCTTTCCCATCTTTGGCATCTTGGAGGCTTTGCTCAGTCTTGGCCACAGGGGGTGCTGTTGCTCCACTGCTGTAAACTTCCTCCTTGATTGAATCACCAGCATTTTTCTGGCATTTCCTTTTGGGTGCCTTATATACGTCCTCGCTTTTAACCAGTACCTATTTATCTACTCACACTTTGCTTTCAAAATGGTAGGTAGGCAGAAGCTGGACTAAAGGCCCGGAGCTCACCCTGACTCGGGCTTCCAACTGTCAACCTTTCGATTGGTAAGATTTATTGCAGCTGATGGTTAATCTGCTGTTCTAAAGCGCTTCCAGACAGCACTAAATCACGGGATACCTAGACCTTGCTTGAGGGAGGTGTGAATGTTGCAATTGACCACCTTGATTAGCATTTAACGGCCTTGTAACTACAAAGCCTGGCTGATTCCTTCCTGGGGGAATCCTTTGTTGGGGGGTGTCAAGAGTACACAGAAAAGCCATTGAAATCCACAAGGGACTGAGGCTCCTGAGGGAAAAGGAGGGAGGAAAGGAAAGAGATTGAGGCTGTTGAGGGGGAAAAGGAAAGAGATTGAGGTTGTTGAGGGGGGAAAGGAAAGGGACTGAGGCTGTTGAGGGGGGAAAGGAAAGAGACTGAGGCTGTTGAGGGGGAAAGGAAAGAGACTGAGGCTGTTGAGGGGAAAAAAGAAACTGAGGCTGTTGAGGGGGAAAAAGAAAGAGACTGAGGCTGTTGAGGGGGAAAGGAAAGGGACTGAGGTTGTTGAGGGGGAAAAGGAAAGAGATTGAGGCTGTTGAGGGGAAAAAAGAAAGAGACTGAGGCTGTTGAGGGGAAAAGGAAAGAGACTGAGGCTGTTGAGGGAGAAAGGAAAGGGACTGAGGCTGTTGAGGGGGAAAGGTAAGGGACTGAGGCTGTTGAGGGGGAAAAGAAAGAGACTGAGGTTGTTGAGGGGGAAAAGGAAAGAGATTGAGGCTGTTGAGGGGAAAAAAGAAAGAGACTGAGGCTGTTGAGGGGAAAAGGAAAGAGACTGAGGCTGTTGAGGGAGAAAGGAAAGGGACTGAGGCTGTTGAGGGAGAAAAGGAAAGAGACTGAGGCTGTTGAGGGGAAAAGGAAAGAGACTGAGGCTGTTGAGGGGGAAAAGGAAAGAGACTGAGGCTGTTGAGGGGAAAAGGAAAGAGACTGAGGCTGTTGAGGGGAAAAGGAAAGAGACTGAGGCTGTTGAGGGAGAAAGGAAAGGGACTGAGGCTGTTGAGGGGGAAAGGTAAGGGACTGAGGCTGTTGAGGGGAAAAGGAAAGAGACTGAGGCTGTTGAGGGGAAAAGGAAAGAGACTGAGGCTGTTGAGGGGGAAAAGAAAAGAGACTGAGGCTGTTGAGGGGAAAAGAAAAGAGACTGAGGCTGTTGAGGGAGAAAGGAAAGGGACTGAGTCTGTTGAGGGAGAAAAGGAAAGGGACTGAGGCTGTTGAGGGGAAAAGGAAAGAGACTGAGGCTGTTGAGGGGAAAAGGAAAGAGACTGAGGCTGTTGAGGGGGAAAAGGAAAGGGACTGAGGCTGTTGAGGGAGAAAAGGAAAGAGACTGAGGCTGTTGAGGGAGAAAGGAAAGGGACTGAGGCTGTTGAGGGAGAAAAGGAAAGAGACTGAGGCTGTTGAGGGGGAAAGGAAAGAGACTGAGGCTGTTGAGGGAGAAAGGTAAGGGACTGAGGCTGTTGAGGGAGAAAGGAAAGGGACTGAGGCTGTTGAGGGAGAAAAGGAAAGAGACTGAGGCTGTTGAGGGGAAAAGGAAAGAGACTGAGGCTGTTGAGGGAGAAAGGAAAGGGACTGAGGCTGTTGAGGGAGAAAGGTAAGAGACTGAGGCTGTTGAGGGGAAAAGGAAAGAGACTGAGGCTGTTGAGGGAGAAAGGAAAGGGACTGAGGCTGTTGAGGGAGAAAGGTAAGGGACTGAGGCTGTTGAGGGAGAAAAGGAAAGAGACTGAGGCTGTTGAGGGGAAAAGGAAAGAGACTGAGCCTGTTGAGGGGGAAAGGTAAGGGACTGAGGCTGTTGAGGGAGAAAAGGAAAGAGACTGAGGCTGTTGAGGGGAAAAGGAAAGAGACTGAGGCTGTTGAGGGAGAAAGGAAAGGGACTGAGGCTGTTGAGGGAGAAAAGGAAAGGGACTGAGGCTGTTGAGGGGAAAAGGAAAGAGACTGAGGCTGTTGAGGGGAAAAGGAAAGAGACTGAGGCTGTTGAGGGGGAAAAGGAAAGGGACTGAGGCTGTTGAGGGGAAAAGAAAAGAGACTGAGGCTGTTGAGGGAGAAAGGAAAGGGACTGAGTCTGTTGAGGGAGAAAAGGAAAGGGACTGAGGCTGTTGAGGGGAAAAGGAAAGAGACTGAGGCTGTTGAGGGGAAAAGGAAAGAGACTGAGGCTGTTGAGGGGGAAAAGGAAAGGGACTGAGGCTGTTGAGGGAGAAAAGGAAAGAGACTGAGGCTGTTGAGGGAGAAAGGAAAGGGACTGAGGCTGTTGAGGGAGAAAAGGAAAGAGACTGAGGCTGTTGAGGGGGAAAGGAAAGAGACTGAGGCTGTTGAGGGAGAAAGGTAAGGGACTGAGGCTGTTGAGGGAGAAAGGAAAGGGACTGAGGCTGTTGAGGGAGAAAAGGAAAGAGACTGAGGCTGTTGAGGGGAAAAGGAAAGAGACTGAGGCTGTTGAGGGAGAAAGGAAAGGGACTGAGGCTGTTGAGGGAGAAAGGTAAGGGACTGAGGCTGTTGAGGGAGAAAAGGAAAGAGACTGAGGCTGTTGAGGGGAAAAGGAAAGAGACTGAGCCTGTTGAGGGGGAAAGGTAAGGGACTGAGGTTGTTGAGGGAGAAAAGGAAAGAAACTGAGGCTGTTGAGGGGAAAAGGAAAGAGACTGAGGCTGTTGAGGGAGAAAGGAAAGGGACTGAGGCTGTTAGGAATGGTGGGAGTTTTGGACTTCAGGTCCAAAACACCTGGAGGGAGGCCCCTACTTTGACCATGCCTGGTGTATAATCTATTGATTTTTCTTTCCAGTCTCTCTTGAGTTGTCCTTTTTCTCCCTTCCATGATTTTGTTATAACCATTCTTGCTGTGGCAAAGCTGTATATTAGCATATTTGGCGTTGTGTCTTGTTGTGGGGATGAATCATTCTGTTGACCTTCTTCCCATCTCTCTCTCTCTTCTAGCCTCACGTCTCCCAGCCCTATAAACAGCACAAAGAGTGAGTCCAGCGCCACTCCATCAGAGGAGAAGGTGGGGTACGACGCTGTTCGTGAAGAAGATGACGACGCGGACACCAGGACAGGTGAGGAGGCAAACTGCCCACCAAACTGTTCCCAATAAATCTTGCCCAGCGAAAGGTTGACAGTTGGAAGACCGGGTCAGGGTGAGCTCTGGGCAGTTACTGCTTCTTTGTCTGGCACACTGTGGGGTGGATAGATTCTTACTGCCTGGGGGGAATCCTTTGTTGGGAGGTGTTACCTGGCCCTGTTTGTTTACTGTCTGGAATTCCCCTGTTTTTTGGCAATCAGGTTTTTTTTGGCAACAAAGGATTCCTCCAGGCAGGAACCAGCCAGGCTTTGAAGCTGCAAGACCATTCAATACTAATTAAGGTGCCCAATTGCAACATTCACACTTGCCTGAAACAGACAAGAGTTTTTCTCCCACCCTGGACATTTGACAGATACATAAACCCCTCTTTCCTAGTTTCCAACAGACCTCACAATCTCTGAGGATGCCTGCCGTAGATGTGGGTGAAACATCAGGAGAGAATGCTTCTGAAACATGGCTACACAGCCCGGAAAACTCACAGCAACCCAGTGATTCCGCCCATGAAAGCCTTCAACAACATAATGATAATAATAATGCCAAATACAGAGAAAGTGGTTTGGCCCCAAGGACCTCCATTGAAATCTGCTGCCGAGTGGGGGATTTGAACCCGGCTCTTCCTGGTCCCAATTTGACCCCATAACCACATACAGCTTTCCCATAATGGCGATTTAAGTCATTTTATCTGCCCAGGCTTTGAATGTTGACTCTAGAAGCGACTCTTCCAACTTTCTGTACAAAAATAACACACTGACTGCAGATGCATTCCAGAGCGTGCCGAAATATCCTGGACTGAAATGCCCTCCGTTTTGGCCCCGTTATGACAACTTGTGCCGTTTTTCCACCAGTTCCAGGAATTCCTAAAAAAAACAACAACTAAGGGATGAAACAAGAAAAAAAAGCAATGTTTCTCCATGCAGATGGTATGAGCACAAGGCTAAGACGTGTCTGGTTTGCAATCCGAAGCCCACAGAGACTGAGACACGTCTGTGGCCGTCTCAGGGGGAGGAAAAGATCCCAGCGAAGTCTCCTTTTATTTTGTTCACAGCGCAGAGGAAGGGGGTGCTTTGTCCTTATAGACGGGGGCTCCACGAGAACCCTCAAAACAAAAGCCTTGAAAACCCTCTTGTCTGAGTCGAGACTTGGTTCATAATGCAGCTGAGCTGGAGCGGAGCCTGGGAAAAAAGCCTGGGGGTCTTTGGGTGCACCCACAATCCCTTTGCAAAATATAAACAGATCCGACACACGTTAAACCTGGAGTATTATATTTAAATCTGGTGTTTTCAAAGCATTCCATAACTCATGTCGTTTCAGCTTTTGCAACAGCATTTCCCAGGAAGAGTTTTGGAGGAAAATACTTTGTTTTTTATGTATGCTCCCATTAGAAAATGCATAAGGATGTGGGTGGACTATAATTCCCAAAAATTGTGGGTTGATCCCCTCCAAACTCCTCCAGTATGCACAGTTGGTCATGCTGGGTCTGTGTGCCAACTTTGGTTCAGATCTGTCATTTCCTGGGTTCAGTATTCTCTGAATACAGGTAAACTATAACTCCCTGATGCCTGTGTCAATCACCTCAGATCCTGCTATTTGTAAAGTTACCTGTGTTGAGTCTGTGTGGCAAGTTTGGTCCAGATCCATCATTGGTGGGGTTCAGAATGGTGTCTGGATGCAGGCTGAACTACAACTCCCATATGTCAAGGACAATCACCCCCAAAGTCCACTAGTAGTCCCAGCTGACAATGTTGAATTTGTGTGCCAACTTTGGTCCAGATCTGTCATTTCCTGGGTTTAGTGTTCTCTGAATACAGGTAAACTATAACTCTCTGGTGCCTGTGTCAATCACCCCCAGACCCTGCCAGTATGCAAAGTTGGCTGTGTTGGTTCTGTGTGGCAAGTTTGAACCAGATTCATCATTGGTGGGGTTCAAAAATAGTCTCTGGATGCAGGGTGAACTACAACTCCCATATGCTAAAGACAATCACCCCCAAAGTCCACTAGTAGTCCCAGTTAGCCATGCTGAATTTGTGTGCCAACTTTGGTCCAGATCTGTCATTCCCTGGGTTCAGTATTCTCTGAATACAGGTAAACTATAACTCCCTGATGCCTGTGTCAATCACCTCAGATCCTGATATACGTAAAGTTACCTGTGTTGGGTCTGTGTGGCAAGTTTGGTCCAGATCCATCATTGGTGGAGTTCAGAATGGTCTCTGGATGCAGGGTGAACTACAACTCCCAAATGCCAAGGACAATCACCCCCAAAGTCCACTAGTATCCCTAGTTGGCCATGTTGAATTTGTGTGCCAACTTTGGTCCAGTTCTGTCATTTCCTGGGTTCAGTATTCTCTGAATACAGGTGAACTATAACTCCCTGATGCCTGTGTCAATCACCTCAGATCCTGTTATATGTAAAGTTACCTGTTTTGGGTCTGTGTGGCAAGTTTGGTCCAGATCCATCATTGGTGGGGTTCAACCACAACTGCAGGCTGAACTACAACTCCCAAATGCTAAGGACAATCACCCCCAAAGTCCACTAGTATTCCCAGTTGGCCATGTTGAATTTCTGTGCCAACTTTGGTCCAGATCTGTCATTTCCTGGGTTCAGTCTTCTCTGAATACAGGTAAACTATAACTCCCTGATGCCTGTGTCAATCACCTCAGATCCTGCTATATGTAAAGTTACCTGTGTTGGGTCTGTGTGGCAAGTTTGGTCCAGATCCATCATTGGTGGGGTTCAACTACAACTGCAGGCTGAACTATAACTCCCAAATGCCAAGGACAATCACCCCCAAAGTCCATTAGTATTCCCAGTTGGACAAGTTGAATTTGTGTGCCAAGTTTGGTCCAGATTCGTCATCCGATGGGTTCAGTGTTCTCAGAATACTATAGCTTGTGAATGTGAAGGTCAATCACCCCAAAACCCTAACAGTATGCAAAATTGGTCATGTTGGGTCTGTATGCCAAGTTAGTTCCAGCTTCATCATTGGTGGGGTTCAGAGGGCTCTTAGATTGCAGGTGAACTATACATCCCAGTCCCTAGGTAAAGGTAAAGACTTTCCCCTTACATTAAATCCAGTCGTCTCCGACTCTGGGAGTTGGTGCTCATCTCCATTTCTAAGCCAAAGAGCCGGCATTGTCCGTAGACACCTCCAAGGTCATGTGGTCAGCATGACTGCATGGAGCGCCGTTACCTTCCCACCAGAGCGGTAGCTATCGATCTACTCACATTTGCATGTTTTCGAACTTCTAGGTTGGCAGAAGTTGGGGCTAACACCGGGAGCTCACCCCGCTCCCCGGAGTCAAACCTGTGACCTTTCAGTCAGCAAGTTTAGCAGCTCAGTGCCTTAGAAAAGAATAGGAAAGGGTTAAGGAAGAGGCAGTGGGCGGGGTCATGCAAATTGCACACCAATGGAGAGAGTAAGGAACACTGGGATGTGGCGCTCACTGTAACCTGTAATGTCAGTGATGGGAGGGCTATTGGTGTCTCCAACGTAATGTGAGCTATAGCTATTGGTGCAGGTGGGAGTCTGTAGACTAATAATAACAATCATCATCATCATCATCATGTTTCACCTGCAGATGAGACTGGCTCTTTCTTCCCCGCCGAGTGGCAGGCGAGGTGTCCTGCAGCCAGTTTGGAGACTTCATGGGAGGAGCAGCTCCTGGAGCAGCAGGACCACCTGGAAAAAGAGATGGAAGAAGCCAAGAAGATGATCTCTGGCCTGCAGGTATCGCTCTTTCCCAGGTCTCTCCACCTGCCTTCACTTGCTTTGCCTCCTTTTAAGGGCCGCAGATGAAAGTTGTGTCTTGTAGTCACTTACTTCCAAGGCAGGCAATTACAGAAAGACAGAAAACATCCCGCAGGAGACCTCTTGGCATCAACTGCGGGGTGGTTGTCCAGAATGAGCGTTTTCCTGCTACATATCCACCTGTGACAGCTGCAGATTTAGAGGGCAATGAATGGAGGATGAAGGAATCGTAAAAGTCATTGCCAACTGTCTTGTTGGGGGTTTGCCACCTCTTTTTAATGGAAAAATGAATTAAGTATCAGTCTCCTTGAGCAGAGTTGCAAGTGGAAGTATGGAAACTCTTGTGTCTCTTTGAGACTTTTTTTTTTTTTTGGCAAAATAAACTAGGTGGGTAGTATGCAAATTAGCCTTACATTGAAAAATGTGCAAACTCAATAGATGAATGGATGGATATAAAGAAAAATGCATGGATATAAAAGTAGCTGGACAGATGGATGGATGGATGGATGGATGGATGGATGGATGGGCAGGACAGACAGATAGATGGATGGACTGATGGATGGATAGGTGGATAGGTGGATGGATAGACGGACAGGTGGATGGAAGGACTGACAGATATGGAAGGATGGATGCTTAGATGGATGCTTAAATGGATGGATAGACAGGTAGGAAGGAAGGAAGGAAGGATAGATAAATGGATAGGCAGGTAGATGAATGGATGGATAGAAGAATGGATGGATTGATAGATGGATAGATAGAGAGGCACGTAGATGGATGGATGAATGGATAGATGAGTGGATAGATGGATGGACAGACAGACAGAAGGAAGGATGGATGGATGAACGGCTGGCTAGACGGAAAAAAGGATGAATGGATGGATTGATGGATGGATAAATGGATAGACAAGTAGATGAATGGATGGATAGAAGAATGGATGGATAGAAGAATGGATGGATAGATGGATAGATAGAAACGTGGATGGATGGATGGATGGATGGATAGATGGGTGGATAGATGGGTGGATAGATGGATGGACAGAGATAGAAGGACGGATGGATTGATGGATGGATGTACAGGTAGATTAATGGATAGATAGATGGATAGATAGATAAACAGACAGACAGACAGACAGACACGTTGATGGGTGGGTATCTGGGTGGCTAGACAGATGGACAGATGGACTGATGGATAGGTAGATGGTAGATGAATGGATAGATAGAAGGCTGGATGGACAGATAGACAGACACTGCAAATGAAACTTCTGTAGACAGTATGTAGAGAGTAAAGGCATGGAGAGGAACCCTTACTGCATAAAGTCCAATTGCTCTAATAACAAATGGGAGAAAGGGAGTGTAGAAAAGGCTTTGTTGAGCAGGCTTTTCCAACAATTCATGATATTGGCACGCAAATACACACCATGTCATCGTCGCCAGTTATTGTGGAGGATGAGGCATTGTGTACTCCCCGAATACAAAGGGCTTGGGGGGAAAATGTGACATTCCCATCGGAGAAGTGTGATCTCGGGTGAAGAGGTCTGGATTGTGTGCACCAAATGGGTGCCAAGTACATGTTGTTCCACCGAAGGGGAAACAGAGGCTCACAGAAAAAGGCTTGGGAGAGCAAAGGAGGGGATGGGTGCCTTCATCAGCTGAAAATGGATGACTGAGATTCTGAAGTCTCTGAAGCAAGCCGCACCGGGGCATTCCTTGCTGGGACCTCGGCCGGCTTGGAATTGTAAATGTTTACATGGGAGTAAACAAAGGCAGCATTGTGCCGGCCACCCAGAGCAGAGCAGAGAACGGAGACGAGATGCAGACATCTTTTTGCAAAGGAGGCAGGATTGCCGTGGTGCCCTTCCTCCTTTCTCTCCTTTTCATGCTCCGGGAAGCAAGGGGTACAGCTGCTGCCGGTGGGGCTGCTGGCACCTGCCTGGCACGGCTGCCTCGTTGCCTCCCGGGAGCAGCAAGGAGGCAGCTGAGCCCACTCTCCAGGAGGCTGGCTTTGAATAGTCAGGGCTTTTGCTCGCTCTTTAAAGCCTGGAGATGAGAAGGGGCTGATTGGAGCCCCCCTGGGAAAGCCGGAGAAGTGGCAGCCCTAAGTGGATCTCCCACTGGGCAAAGGTTGAAGCTCTTGGCGACTGGAAATTCAAATGGGGAGGGGCTTGGCATCCATCCCCATGTCTTTCTGTGTACATGGGCCTTAGAGACTTAATTCAGTTTCAGTAGAAGAGTGCCATCGAAGTTGGACAGCTTGCATGGTTCTATTTAGGGCCCCTTCTACACTGGTGTATAAAATCCAGATTATCTGTTTTGAACTGAATTATGTGGCAGTGTAGACTCACATAATCCAGTTCAAAGCAGATAATCTGCATTATCTGCCTTGATAATCAGGATTATATGGCAGTTAGAAAGGGCCATGGCATCCTAGAAGTGACTGGACTGACCTTGAAGGAGCAGGGGGTGGTGACGGCCGACAGGGAGCTCTGGCGTGGACTGGTCCATGAGGTCACGAAGAGTCGGAGACGACTGAACGAATGAACAAGAAGAAAGGGCCAAAAAGAGGAGGGAGAAATTCAGTTCTAATTTCCAGGCACAGTGGAGACTGTATTATGCCCGCTCAGACCACTGAGCTGCCATGTTACAATTGTATGAACTTCTTGTCATGAGCACAGGGTTTTTCACATTTTTCTAACCCCTAGCTTCACTCTCACAGAGCTTCTTCTCACACCAAACTTACACTGGAGCTTTACACACTAGCTTAAAACACAGCAGCCTTCACACATGAGCTTCACACACATGACCTTCAACTTGGGGCTTCCCTCAGACTGAGGCATTCTTTCACACTGAGGCCTTCTCATGCTGAGACCTACTAACATTGATGCTGAGACCTACTAACACTGAGGCCTACCTCACACTGAGGCCTTCCTCCCACTGAGACCTTCTCACACAGAGACCTTCTTCGACACTTAGGGCTACCTCGAACAGAGGCCTCTCTCACACTGACGCAAATTAACACCAAGCCTTCTCAGCTACAGACACACCTGCTATTATTATTATTATTATTATTATTATTATTATTATTATTATTACCTTAAAACACAGCAGCCTTCACACATGAGCTTCACACACATGACCTTCAACTTGGGGCTTCKCTCASACTGAGGCATTCTTTCACACTGAGGCCTTCTCATGCTGAGACCTACTYARATTGATGCTGAGASCTACTAACACTGAGGCCTACCTCACACTGAGGCCTTTCTCCCACTGAGACCTTCTCACACAGATACCTTCTCAGAAACTTAGGTCTACCTCGAACAGAGGTCTGTCTCACACTGAGGCGAATTAACGCCAAGCCTTCTCAGCTATAGACACATCTGCTTATATTATTATTATTATTATTATTATTATTATTATTATTATTATTATTATTATCTTAAAACACAGCAGCCTTCACACATGAGCTTCACACACATGACCTTCAACTTGGGGCTTCTCTCACACTGATGCCTTCTCATACTGAGACCTACTAACACTGAGGCCTACCTCACACTGAGGCCTTTCTCCCACTGAGACCTTCTCACACAGAGACCTTCTCAGACACTTAGGGCTACCTCGAACAGAGGCCTCTCTCACACTGATGCAAATTAATGCCAAGCCTTCTCAGCTACAGACACACCTGCTTATATTATTATTATTATTATTATTATTATTATTATTATTATTATTATTATTATTGCTGAGTCATTGCATCCATTTAACCCCTTCAGTGCTTGTCTCACATTTTTTGTAATTAAAAATACCTAGTTAGTTTTTTAATATTTCTGACAAAGATTAAGCGTGTTTATATTGTTCGGTCCTTTTCAAGAGCCTCGTCCAAACCATTCAGCGTTTTCCCTTCCCTTTCACAGTTGTAGTGACATCTGGGGACAGGATCCAGGTTGGGGCTTCAGTTGCCAGATTACACACAGACAGGGTTGAGTTTCTTTCTGGGCTGTTTCCATTGACCTCTTTGTCCCTTCCACTGTTGTTCTGCCAGGCTTTGCTGCTGAACGGGTCGCTACCTGAGGATGAGCAAGAGCGTCTGTTTGCCCTTTCCGAACAGGAGGGTTGCCCCGAAGAGCAGCTGGTAAGCAACACATGTGCGCTTCCTTCCAGAGCTCTAGTTGGAGCCCACTTTGTGTTTTTGTGCAGATCCTGGCAAATAACAGCAGTGTTTTTACTCACAGGTTATCACCAGGAGCCGCCTGGATCAGAGCGTGAAGGAGAACCAGGAACTAAAGGTAAGAGAGTCAGATGGATAGGGGGATTTTATGAATACATCTCCATTATTATTATTATTATTATTATTATTATTATTATTATTATTTGAAACACAACAAGATGAGTCCACAGCAGACACTCTGCTGGCTGTTGAATTGGATCACACGTCGGACACTTCCCAAGTGTCTAGGACTGTGTGATGTATTGGCGAATAATGTGTGCAGATCCCAGTAAGGTGGCCTTTCGCCCATCAAGCAAAAAGTGACTGCTAGAAACAATATCATACGAAAGCTGACTGGCACAACCTGGGGATCACAACCAGACACAGTGAAGATATCTGCCCTTGCGCTATGCTACTCTGCTGCTGAGTATGCATGCCCAGTGTGGAACACATCTCACGACACTAAAACAGTAGATGTGGCTCTTAATGAGACATGCCGCATTATCACGGGGTGTCTGCGCCCTACACCACTGGAGAAATTACACTGCTTAGCCGGTATCACACCACCTGACATCCGCCGGGAAGTAGCAGCCAATAGTGAAAGGACCAAGGCAGAGACATCTCCAGCTCATCCCTGTTTGGGTATCAGCCAGCACGTCAACGACTTAAATCAAGAAATAGTTTTCTGAAGATCTACAGAGACACTCGCTGGAACACCTCAGCAAGCGAGAGTCCAAAAGTGGCAGGCTCAAACCCAGAACCTCAATCAATGGCTGATACCAAATGAGAGACTCCCCCCTGGGCACACAGAAGACTGGGCGACTTGGAAGGCGCTGAACAAACTGCGCTCTGGCACCACGAGATGCAGAGCCAACCTTCAGAAATGGGGCTACAAAGTGGAATCCACGACATGCGAGTGTGGAGAAGAGCAAACCACTGACCACCTGCTGCAATGCACCCTGAGCCCTGCCACATGCACAATGGAGGACCTTCTTGCAGCAACACCAGAAGCACTCCAAGGGGCCAGATACTGGTCAAAGACATTTAATCAACTACCAAGCTTGCAAACTCTGTGTCTTTTGTATGTATGTTTGTTTGTTTGCTTTTTGTTAAAAATGTAATACAAACGTCTGGTTACTGATGATACGATAAATAAAATAAATGTACTTACACAAGGCAATTTGGTTCTCAGTTGTTAGACTGATAACCTGGTTGTTTCTGATCTGTTAGGAACAGAGATTAGGCCAAGGCACAAAAACAGTATAGAGTTACAGAAATGTTTCTTTCAGTGCCCAAATACATCGCCTTTTCTAGAAAACATCTTGTTTCTATATCATAGACTTAGCTAAAAGTAACATATCTGGTTTACTCACAACCGTCATGCATTCAGCATACAGGTCCATAAGTTGTCAATCCAGTTACAGATAGGATTTGAAGTAGTTTCTCTGTGCAGATAACACAGGGCATCTTTCTTATAATCTTAATAGTTCAAAGTCTAAAGCATCTGTTTTCAAAAATGGAGTCTGAGCTTTGAGCAGTCCCAGATCTGATCATGGGGTCTGCAGCCCCTCCCACAACTTCTCAGGAAAACATAGAGTAAAGGGAAAGCTTCATACCAAAACATACGTAGACAGTATAGTAAACAAACAGAATAATATACAAAACAAATTACTAGTGGAGAAGAAGGTTGCTATTTCCATCAGTTAATTAGTTAATTAGTTAGTTAGATAGCGAGCGCCTGTGTTAACTTTCCTATATAGTTATGCTAATAAAAGAATAACAAAGCCAGCGGACCTGATGGGATCCCTGCTGAAATCTTTAAAGAGGGAGGACCTGAGCTGACACAACAACTCCACCAGCTCATAGAAAAAGTGTGGGTGACCGAGAAAATCCCAGCAGATTTCAAGGATGCCACCATCATCACCCTCTTCAAAAAAGGGGAAAGAACAGACTGCGGAAACTATTGAGGTATCTCCCTTCTAACCTCCGCTGGGAAAATCCTCGCAAGAATCCTTGCAAACCGCCTTCTGCCCCTCTCAGAAGACACCCTCCCAGAATCTCAGAATGGCTTCCGCCCCTCCAGAGGAACAGTGGACATGATCTTCACTGCACGACAGCTCCAAGAAAAATGCAGGGAACAAAACCAACCTCTGTACATGGCATTCATCGACCTTGCAAAGGCATTCGACACAGTGAATCGCAGCGCTCTCTGGACCATCCTCCAAAAATCGGGTGCCCAAGCAAATTTGTGAACATCCTGCGGCTCCTCCATGATGGCAACAGTTTTGGACAGCAGTGGCTCCCAAAGTGACCCATTTAAGGTGGAATCGGGTGTCAAACAGGGATGTGTTATTGCCCCAACTCTATTCTCCATCTTCATCGCTATGATACTTCACCTTGTTGATGGGAAGCTTCCCACCGGAGTGGAAATCATCTATCGGACAGATGGCAAGCTATTCAACCTCAGCAGACTGAAAGCCAAAACCAAGGTTACAACAACATCTGTTATAGAACTCCAGTATGCTGATGACAACGTCGTCTGTGCGCATTCAGAAGAAGATCTACAAGCCACTCTAAACACCTTTGCAGAAGCATACGAGAAGGTCGGCTTGTCATTGAACATTGAAAAAACCAAGGTGCTTTTCCAGCAGGCACTAGCCAACCCCTCTCCAATGCCAGTGATACAGCTTAACGGTGTAACATTAGAAAATGTTGGTCATTTCCGCTACCTTGGCAGCCACCTCTCCACCAAAGTCAACATCGACACCGAAATACAACAACGCCTGAGCTCTGCAAGCGCAGCATTTTTCCGAATGAAGCAGAGAGTGTTTGAGGACCGGGACATCCGTAGGGAGACTAAGGTGCTTGTTTATAAAGCTATTGTCCTCCCAACCCTGCTCTATGCCTGTGAGACGTGGACTGTCTACAGACATCACATGCAACTCCTGGAACGATTTCATCAGCACTGCCTCCGAAAAATCCTGCAAATCTCTTGGGAAGACAAGCGGACAAATGTCAGCGTGCTGGAAGAAGCAAAGACCACCAGCATTGAAGCTATGGTCCTCCGCCACCAACTCCGCTGGACCGGCCATGTTGTCCGGATGCCCGACCACCGTCTCCCAAAGCAGTTGCTCTACTCCGAACTCAAGAACAGAAAACGGAATGTTGGTGGACAGGAAAAGAGATTTAAAGATGGGCTCGAAGCCAACCTTAAAAACTCTGGCATAGACACTGAGAACTGGGAAGCCCTGGCCCTTGAGCGCTCCAGCTGGAGGTCAGCTGTGACCAGCAGTGCTGCAGAATTTGAAGAGGCACGAGTGGAGGGTGAAAAGAGAAACGTGCCAAGAGGAAGGCGCGTCAAGCCAACCCCGGCCGAGACCGCCTTCCACCTGGAAACCAATGCCCTCACTGCGGAAGAAGATGCAGAGCAAGAATAGGGCTCTACAGCCACATACGGACCCACAAGAATATTGGAAGACAATCATCCTCGGAAAGCGAGAGATCGCCTAAGTAAGTAAGCTAATAAAGTCTTCTATAACTTTTAAAGCTTGACTCTGTTCTTGTGTTGCTTAAGCTCAATTACTCTACTGCTGACACTCAGAAGCTTCTGATCTACCGAACTGCTGTTGCTGCTGCTGTTTTGCCTTTTAAAATGCTTTTTCCTTTTTTTGGAAATCATGAGGCAATCATTAAAACGTCTAACCGTGTCTGAAAGGAAACACACTTTCATCGGTGAGATAAAAGCAGCAGCCCAGGAGGAAAGAGACCCCGTTCTGTCATGCGCCTCCTCTTCTGGTGCAGAAGTTGGCTGCCAGCCCAGGACGATATCCCTGGAAGCTGCATCCTCAGCACTGGGTTGAAAGAGCGGCTTTGAGGGATTCGTGGTTTTCCCATTGATGTGGGCCACTTAAGGGAGCAGAAGGTGCCCCGGGGAGGCCTTCCTTCGTTCCGGCATTGATTCCTTCTTTTTCTTGGCTCATTAAAATAGGCCCGATGCTAAAATCCTGGCGCGAGAAGAGGGCTCTTTAAATTGCAGAGAGGGAGGAAAACGAATTGGTGAAGGGACGAGAAAGGAGGGGCTGGTTATGATTGGAAATAGCAACCTTCCAAGTCTTCACTATTTGAATATATTTTGTTAATGTATATATTTGCTAACCCGTATTGTGTATATGGAGTTCCTGGTGGTGCAGTGGGTTAAACCACTGAGCTTCTGAAATTGCTGACCGAAAGGTAGCCGGTTCAAATCTGGGGAGTGGGGTGAGCTCCCACTGTTAGCCCCAGCTTCTGCCAACCCAGCAGTTAGAAAACATGCAAATGTGAGATCAATAGGTACCACTCCGGCGGGAAGGTAACGGCACTCCATGCAGTCATGCTGGACACATGACCTTGGATGTGTCTACGAACAACGCCAACTCTTCGGCCTAGAAATTGAGATGAGCACCACTCCCAGAGTCAACCACGACTGGACTTAATGTCATGGGAAAACCTTTACTTTTACCTATTGTGTATACATTTATTTTCCAGTTTGACTTACCTCTTTGGTGTGGGAGGGTCCTCGCATGGGGAACTGGAGCTAACAGAGCGAGCTCAATCTGCTCTCCCCAGATTCGAACCACTATCTTGCCACTATCCTGCTGGCACAAGGGTTTAACAACTGTGTGCTGTTACATGGATACTTGAGAACATCACTTTTTCAAAGGGTTGACGTCTAACAAGGTCATGCCTTTCCTTGACTTGTGGTTTTCAAAAAGTGGTCTCCAGATGGAGATTCACATTTGCCAAAAGGATATGACATTTTATTTTATTTTCAAAAAAGTTATAAATGCCATTTCCCCCCCCCCCCCCAAAAAAAAAAAAAACCAAACTTATTGATAATGTTGTTGTTCAAGCTCAGGTCTGAAGCTTGATTGCATCCTTCCAGTACGGTAGGAAAAGTGCAACGTACCTCCACTTTTTGTCCCCATTTTGTGCCACTAATTGCACTTCTATCCCGCAGCTTGGGGTGTGACCCTGGACTCAGCGCTGAGCCTGGAACCCCAGGTTTCGGCGGTGACCAGGGGAGCATTTGCACAGCTAAAGCTTGTGCGCCAGCTGCGCCCGTACCTTGGGAAGTCTGACTTGGCCACGGTAGTCCACGCTCTGGTTACATCCCGTCTAGACTACTGCAACGCTCTCTACGTGGGGTTGCCTTTGAAGATGGCTCGGAAGCTCCAGCTAGTCCAACGCTCGGCAGCCATGATACTAACAGGAGCGGAGCGCAGGGAGCATACAACCCCCCTGTTGCGCCAACTCCACTGGCTACCGATTTGCTACCGGGCTCAATTCAAAGTGCTGGCGTTGGCCTTTAAAGCCCTAAACGGTTCCGGCCCAAGCTACCTATCTGACCGCATCTCTGCCTATAAACCCACCAGGACTTTGAGATCTTCCGGGGAGACCCTGCTCTCGATCCCGCCTGCTTCTCAAGCTCGGCTGGCGGGGACGAGAGATAGGGCCTTCTCGGTGGTGGCTCCTCGGTTGTGGAACGCCCTTCCTACGGACATTAGACTAGCACCATCTCTAATGGTATTCCGCAAAAAGGTGAAGACCTGGCTGTTTGAGTGCAATGATTGGTTAATGAACACTGGAATGGAACAATGGATGACGAATCTGGAACATGTTTTTGATAACGAGACGACAGTGAATGGGTATTGTAGTAACTGTTTATTAATTGTGTAATGTGTTAGGTTGTTAACTGTTTCTATACTGTAGCACTGAATTTTTGCTGTTCGTATTTGTTGTGAACCGCTGTGAGTCGCCTTCGGGCTGAGAACAGCGGTATATAAGTAAGGTAAATAAATAAATAAATAAACTGTCTTGGTCTTGCAGAAGGAGTTGCAGAAGCAGAAACAGGAAACGCGGAGCCTGCAAGGCGTCAAGGTGAGAAAAAGATGGTTTTAAACCTGAATAGGTAGCAAACTTCAGCCCTCCCTCCAGGTGTTTTGGACTACAACTCCCACAATTCCTAACAGCCTACGGCTGTGAGGAATTGGGGGAGTTGTAGTTCAAAACACCTGGAGGGAGGGCTGAAGTTTGCCCATTCCTGAACGAATAACTATCTCCATCAGCTTCCCTTGCAAAGTGTGCTTTCCCATTTTCCTCGTCCGGGGGGAAATTAAAATGCAAAGAATATCTGCGGAAAGCATAGAAGTCGGTTTGAGCCTAATTTGCATTTGTGCTGAGCGCGCAAAGGCTGATTTATGTGTCTGATGGCAAGCGCTTCTGTCGGTTTCTGCAAGAGAGAGTTCCTTGCTTCTAAAGCTGGAACTATTTCTTTTTGCTCTTTCAAAGACCAAGACGGAGGGCTTGCAAAATGGGAACGGCGATCTATATTTCCCTCTTGTAGGGTCACTGTAAGTCAGAAAAAGCATAGCTCTGGTGGAAGTCCTTTGTTTTTGTGCCCTATGCTTGTATGACATAGTTATATTTGCACCCAACCTTTGCCATCTTTTGAAAAGGCTCTTGCCATGCCGTTACGTTTTGCAGCGCTTAATGTTTTGCTGCGTTCCACTTCCCCAGGAGGCCTTGCAACAACGCCTGGCCCAGCAGGAAGCGCTCATCCTCCAGATCAAGCAGGAGCTGCTGAGAGCAAACATGGACAAGGAAGAGCTGCACAGCCAAAACGTGAGCGCTTTCCCTTTTGCGTTGCCATGTTGGGAAAGAAGCGGGATAGAAGTGCAATTAGTGGCACAAACTGGGGACAAAAAGTGGAGGTACGTTGCACGTTTCCTATCGTACTGGAAGGATGCAATCAAGCTTCAGACCTGAGCTTGAAGTTCCTTATCCGTAACTAAGTTCTACATATAGGTATTCACAGTAGCTGAAGGAGTAGGACATCTCAAGGCAGGAACTGCTGCTATGACAGGGAGAAGAAAGGGGCTGGTCAGGTTGAGGACAAGTACAAACTGTAAATTATTCTTCCATTGAAATATGTGCAAAATGGATGGATGGATGGCTGGATGGATGGATAGGCGGTTAGATGAAAGGATGGATGGATGGACAGATGGATGGATGCATGGATGGATGGATGTATAGGCAATTAGATAGACAGATGGATGGATGGATAGATAGATGGATGGATGGATGGATTGCTGGATGGATAGGCCATTAGATGAACGGATGGATGGATGGATGGACGGACAGATAGATGGATGGATGGATGTATAGGCAGATGGATGGATGGACGGATGGATGGACGGACGGATGGATGGATAGGCAGTTAGATGGATGGATGGATGGACAGATGGGTGGATGGATGTATAGGCCGTTAGATGGACAGATGAATGGATGAACAGATAAATTGATAGATGGATAGGCAGTTAGATGGAAGGATGGATGGACGGATGGACATATAGACAGATGGATGTATCTAGAATACAAACTGAAATATGTGCAAAACAGATAGATGAATTGATGGATAGGCAGGTAGATAGACAGATAGATGGGTGGATGGACAGACGGACAGATGTATAGACAGGCAGATAGAAGGATGGATGGATCTAGAGTACAAACAAATTATTCTTACATTGAAATATGTGAAAAACCGATGGATGGATGGGCAGGTAGATGTACAGATGGATGGATGGATAGAAGGACAGATGGATGGACAGACTGGTAGACAGACAGAAAGAAGGATGGATGGATCTAGAGTACAAACTGCAAATTATTCTTACATTGAAATACGTGCAAAACCGATGAATGGATGGATGGATGTATGGAGAGGCAGGTAGATGGACAGATGGAAGGATAGACATATAGAAAGATAGATCTAAAGTACAAACTGCCAATTATTCTTACATTGAAATATGTGCAAAACTGGTGGATGGATGGATAGATGAATGGATATGCAGTTAGATGGACAGATGGATGGATGGATGGATAGATAGAAAGACCGACAGACATAGACAGACAGATAGAAGGATGGATGGATCTGGAGTTCAAACGGTGCAACTCTTCAAATATTACTCCTTCAGGTCGAACTTCAGAGGAAGGTGGAAGACAGGAATCGGCTCCTGGCAGAATATAAGGTAACCCACCTCCCTTCCGTCCTTCCTTCCTTCCTTCCTTCCTTCCTTCCTTCCTTCCTTCCTTCCTTCCTTCCTTCCTTCCTTCCTTCCTTCCTTCCCCTAGAAAAACCTCATGGCTCTGTGACCCTGGGTGCGGTGGATTGTGCTGACCTTGCCACCGGCTTTGCTCCCCTCCAGTGCGTGCCTCCTCCTTCCCCCGCTGATGACCCCAATTCCCACTGTGTTGCAGAAGGAGCTGGGCCAGAAGGACCGCCACCTGCACCAGCACCAGGCCAAGATGGAGGAGATGCTGCGCCAGCTGTCCGAGGCCAGCTATCAGCAGGTAAGGGCGCCTCCTCCTCGCCCCGTCCTGTCCCGTCCCTCTCGGGGTCCCTCCGGCCCGCTCACCCACGCCTTTCCTCCGCAGGCGGAGCTGGAGCGAGAGCTGGAGCACAAGGAAGCCCTGCTGGCTCAGTGCGTGAAGAAAGATGCAGAGGAGGTACGCTGCGCTTGGGCTTTGTGGCGCCTGGCCGCCCTGGGAGTTGTAGTTCCCCTAAAAGACAATAATTTCCCAAGCTTCCGAAAAAATGAAACTAAGTCCCTAATCCACGTGTAGCTCAAACTTTTTAGGGGTAGACTGTGTAGGAAAGCGGGAATCTTACCACTAATATTCTTTTCCTGCCCTCTTTCATTCCTTCTTTCCTTTGCCTTTTCCTTCCTTCTTTTCTTCTTTCTTTCTTTCTTTCTTTCTTTCTTTCTTTCTTTCTTTCTTTTCTTCCTTCATCTCCTTCTTTCCTTCCTTTTTTTCTTTTCCCTCTTTCTTTTTTTACTTCCCTTTTTCTTTCCTTCCTTCTTTTCCTTCTTTCCTTCCTTCCTTTCCTTCTCTCTTTCCTTCCTTCCTTTCCTTTCCCCTTCCTTCCTTCTTCCTTCTTTCTTTCTTTCTTTTCTTCCTTCCTCTCCTTCTTTCCTTCCCCTTTCCTTTTCCTTTTCCTTTTCCTTTTCCTTTTCCTTTTCTTCTTCCCTTCCTTCTTTCTTTCTTTCCTTCCTCCCCTTTTTCTTTCCTTCCCTTCTTCTTCCTTCCTTCTTTCCTTCCCTCTTTTTCCTTCTTTCCTCTTTTCCTTCCTTTCTCCTTCTTTTCTTTCCTTCCCTTTTCCCTTCCTTTTACTCTTTCCTTCCCTCTCTTCCTTTCCTTCCCTCTTTCTTTCTTTCCTACCTTCCCCTTTTTCCTTCCTTCCTTTCTTTTTCCTTCCTTTCCTTCTTTCCTTACCTCTTTCCTTTTTCCTTCTTTACTTCCTTCCTCTCCTCCTTCCTTCCTTCTGTCCTTCCTTCCCTTTCTTTCTTTCTTTCTTTCTTTCTTTCTTTCTTTCTTTCTTTCTTTCTTTCTTTCTTTTTTCTTTCCTGCCATCCTTCCTTTCTTTCCTTCTTTCCTTCTTTCTTTCTTTCTTTCTTTCTTTCTTTCTTTCTTTCTTTCTTTCTTTCTTTCTTTCATAATTTCTTTCCTTTCTTCCTTATTTATTTCCTTCCTTCCTTCTCTCCTTCCTTCTGACCTACCTACTTACCAAAGCAGGTAATCGCCTACAGCAACCACAGTTCTCAGAGCAATGGCTTCCTCCAGACATCAGGAAAAGCAGCAGCTTCCACGGCTCACAGAGGCGTAAGTCCCTTGACGCCCCATAATGCGAGCACACCCCTCTCCCTGCCTTCGTGACATTTGGGGGGGGGGACATTTTTTCTTTCCTTCTTTGACCCCCACTTTTTCCTGAGACAGACAAACGACCTCCAGCTGGTCCGCGAGGCCCTGCGCAGTTTGCGGAACAGCTTCAGTGGCCACGATCCCCAGCACCACACCATCGACAGCCTGGAGCAGGGCATCTCCAGCTTGATGGAGAGGCTGCACCGCATGGAGATGCAGAAGAGGCAGGAGAGGAGGGTAGGCCTGGACTAGAAGGGATCTGGTCCTTGGGTTGTTGTAGGTTTTTCCGGGTTATATGGCCATGTTCTAGAGGCATTCTCTCCTGACGTTTCACCTGCATCTATGGCAAGCATCCTCAGAGGTAGTGAGGTCTGTTGGAACTAGGAAAATGGGTTTTATATATCTGTGGAGTGACCAGGGTGGGACAAAGGACTCTTGTCTGCTGGAGCTAGGTGTGAATGTTTCAACTGACCACCTTGATTAGCATTTGATGGCTTGGCAGTGCCTGGGGGAATCTTTTGTTGAGAGGTGATTAAATGTGCCTGTTTGTTTCCTCTCTGTTGTTTGCTGTTGTAATTTTAGAGTTTTTTTAATACTGGTAGCCAGATTTTGTTCATTTTCATGGTTTCCTCCTTTCTGTTGAAATTGTCCACATGCTTGTGGATTTCAATGGCTTCTCTGTGTAGCCTGACATGGTGGTTGTGAGAGTGGTCCAGCATTTCTGTGTTCTCAAATACTATGCTGTGTCCAGGTTGGTTCATCAGGTGCTCTGCTATGGCTGACTTCTCTGGTTGAAGTAGTCTGCAGTGCCTTTCATGTTCCTTGATTCGTGTTTGGGCAAATGCTGCGTTTGGTGGTCCCTCTGTAGACTTGTCCACAGCTGCATGGTATACGGTAGACTCCTGCAGAGGTGAGAGGATCCCTCTTGTCCTTTGCTGAACGTAGCATTTGTTGGATTTTCTTGGTGGGTCTGTAGATAGTTTGTATGTTGTGTTTCCTCATCAGCTTCCCTATGCGGTCAGTGGTTCCCTTGATGTCTGGCAAGAACACTTTCCTCTGGGTGGATCTTGGTCTTGACTCTCGTGGCTTCTTCTCGGTTGTCTTGCAGCTCTTCTGATGTCTGAGGTGGAGTCTCCATTGGCCTGGAGAGCCCAGTTGAGGTGGTTCAGTTCATCTTGGAGGAGGTGGGCTTCGCAGATTCTTTTTGCACGGTCTGCCAAGGCTTTAATGGTGCTTCTTTTTGACTTGGGTGATGGTTGGAGTTTTTATGTAGATATCTATCTGTGTGTGTGGGTTTTCTGTAAACGGTGTGACCCAGTTGTTGATCTGGTTTGCGGATGACTAGGACATCTAGAAAAGGCAGTCTTCCTTCATTTTCTTTTTCCATGGTGAATTGGATGTTTGGGTGGATGCTGTTAAGATGGTCCAGGAACCTGTTGAGTTCTTCTTCTCCATGGCTCCAAATGGTGCCATGGTCCTTTCCCCCCCTGTAGCTTTGGCTTCTTCCCTAAAGCCCCAGGCATGCGGGGCCTGCGTGAGAATGGAACCATACCATCTTTGGGACTTTTGGGAAGCACAACACCCTCCAGAGCTTGGGTTTTCATTGATAGGGACCAGAAGGTTGAGTAGAGCGGCTCCTAACCTTCCACCTCTAGGAAGCCTGTGGAGGGACTCAATTACAGCCTGAAGACAGCTGTGTAGCACTCACAAGACCGCCGCGTGTTGCCGTTGCTGGAGGGCTTCCTAATCCCCGGCGCCACCAGCCGTTCCCCTTCGCAGGGTCACTTTGGAGCTGGCATTAAAGCAACACATGGTCCCCTTTTGAGCACGCTCCCATTGGGTCCTTTAATTAGTGTAACCCATCTGCTATTTTTCTCTCCGCTGACCTTTTCCATTTCTGTGTGGGTTAACTATTCCTCAAACCTTTGGAAACGAGGCAGGCATGCTCAGAGCCCCGTTCTTCTGTTTCCCGTGTTCCCAGGTCCGAGGGAAGTCCCCAGCCCCGCATGTCACCAACGAATACCGGGACGCCTGGCCCTCCAACTCCAGTAAGTGCCCTTCCAGATCTTCCTGTTTCTTGGACTGATCTTTTATTATATGTATTATATTTATATAATACTAGCCGTAGTTTTTGAGTTACGTTAATCCTGCAAACAAACATTAAATTTTTATTTATATAAATTTATTATATTTATATAATGAATACAATGCCAAAGATAAATAAAGAACTATGATGCCAAAGATAAGTGTGGCTTTTGAAGAACCGGGATGATCTTGCACTCCCTCCACCTTCTCATCGTTGCCCTAATCATTCCCTTGCCTTGGGCTCTTCCTTTCACTTGAAATAGTAGTTGTCTTTCGGAGCTGGCCTACGTACAACTGTTGACACAACCACAACCATTGCAGAAATAATTAATACTTGCAATAGTTATCTACTCTGTTAAGATCAAGCTGAAAGCACCACCGCAATCCATGCAGTACTTACAAAATTACTCATTGTGAGCAGTTTCTGACATCTAGCGGCTGCTGTGGATAATACTATGTAATGAAATTTGGGGGGAAAAACTGTTGCTGATTTGAAAGTGTTGTTTCCTGTTTTATTCTATGGTCCTGACTTTGAAAGTAGTTCTACGCCAAAAACGTTTTTGTGGCTGCCACAAACTCAGTTGAATTGAATGAGACTCAATGAGATATTAATTGAAAAACCATAGCAAAATATGCGGCAGGATGTTCCTCTCGCAAAAAAAAAAATCTCTTTTTTGAGGCCCCTTTCTCTTGGTGTGTTGTCGCTTAACCCTCTGCGGCCTCTTTGGTTGCCTCCTCTTTGACTGGGTGTCTCCATTTTGCTTTGCAGAGCTGCCTCATTCGCACAGCACCCCGGCCATGAGCAGCAGTGCCTGCACCAAAGTGCTCTACTTCACAGACCGCTCCCTCACTCCTTTCATGGTCAACATACCAAAGAGGTGAGCCAGGCTGGTTGAGCGGAAGCATGTGTTGGTGGGAATTGTGTGCATTTCTATAGGTTCTCTCCCTGGCATATCCTGGGCTGCTTGCTCTTAAGTCTCGGTGGCAAGGCAATCTCTCCCATCACTTTCTGACTTCCCTGCAGGTTGGGTGAGGTGACGCTGGGGGACTTCAAGGCAGCTATTGACCGAGAAGGAACACACCGGTACCATTTCAAAGCCCTGGATCCAGAGTTTGGCACAGTCAAAGAGGAGGTAGGTGGTGGCCTGCAGTATCTGTTATGAATTTCCCACACTGGAAAAGAATATCCCATCCTCGTCGCCAATTTGTCATGAATAACTTTTCAATAACTTTAAAGCATAGGTTATTTTATTGCAATTTCCAGTATGAGAGGGTTGATCAGAACTTTTACAGAACTTTCAGAACACACCATCTCTCTCCTTCCCATGAAGCAGAGCATGGCAGGTGGACCAGACTCCTCAGGTCTGCCACACTTTGAGAACTTTTACAGAACTTTCAGAATACACCATCTCTCTCCTTCCCATGGAGCAGAGCATGGCGGGTGGACCAGACTCCTCAGGTCTGCCACACTTTGAGCATTATTAGATTGAGTCTTTTATAGGAATATTCTGTTGATGTAGTCCCAAAGTTGTAAATGAATGATAGGCATCTTCCATCCTGGATCCATCTCAGTTTCCTGGTCAGAAGTTGATTCTTCCTTCTGTTGACTTCCTTCTTGTTTATTTATTTATTTATTTATTTATGACATTTATATGCCGCCCTTCCTACCCCAAAGGGGACTCAGAGCAGCTTACAAGATATATATACATACAATATTATTAGCATAGCACCTTATCAGTATTATATATTACTATATTGTACTATACCATTATAAATAAAGGTAAAGGTTTTCCCCTGACATGAAGTCCAGTCATGTCCAACTCTGGGGTGTGGTGCTCATCTCCATTTCTAAGCCACAGAGCCGGCGTTGTCTGTAGACACCTCCAAGGTCATGTGGCCGGCATGACTGCATGGAATGCCTTTACCTTCCCGCTGGAGCGGTACCTATTGATCTACTCACATTTCCAAGTTTTTGCACTGCTAGGTTGGCAGAAGCTGGGGCTGATAGTGGAAGCTCACACAGCACCCTGGATCAACAAGCTTAACAGCTCAGCACTTTAACCCACTGTGCCACCGGGGCTCCTATAATATTATAATATTATAATAATGTAACAGTATAATATTACCATTATACGGTAATATTATTAGTAATGTTACATGTAATATACAATATATAATTATAATATCATATTATTATCAGTATTATATGGTATTACATTATAATATTATAATTATTATATGTATATACAATATATTATATTACATTATAACATTTCTGTTATCACTGTCCCAGTTCTTATCAGAGTTTACTTTTCAGTTCTTATTAGCTACTTTTAATTATAGTCATTGGTCTTTTACTGGTGTTTCCAAAATGATTAACTCCATCCATACATCCGTCTTTTTTTTTAAGCTTCATTTTTTTCTTTATTGATAATTTGTTTTATGAGTGGGTTTATACAATTAATACATGAAAGATGTCAATAATCACATTTCTCTACACCCTTCCATTATCTCCACCTCTTTCATTCAATAATGTCCACTCACTTATCTAGTATATCTGAGTTCATTCACTTTTTTCCTTCCCTCCCCCCGCCACCCTCCCCCTCCCCAAACCCATACCACATTTCCTTTAGAACTCTAACTCCATCCATGAGCTCAGCTTTTCCCATTTCTGTACAATATTTACATTGGCTTCGCCTCCTTTTATCCATTCCGAATATATGAACCATTTCTCTTTAATTTTCCTCATTTTATCTTCCTTCATAGCCTCACCGGTTGCAATTGCAATAATTTCTGATTGGACCTGGTCAAACAAATAATTATTCCAATTAACCATATCCCATTTTTTTGCATCTTTCCATCCCCAAGCTATTACAGCCTTCCCTGCAAGAATCATTGCTTTGAATAGATCCTGATATTTTGGATCAATCTTCCTGCATCCTAATATCCCCATGAACATCAACTCCATATTTATTTGCAGTGGTATCTTAAATATTTTCTCCATTTTACCTGTTATCCATACATCCTTCCATTCATTCCCACACATCATATTAAATCCACATTTATCAAATCTGCAATGATACTTTCATGATATATTTATGGATTCCCCGTCCGTGGATTCAACAGCCTTTGAAGGCTACCATAATTTATTTATTTATTTGTTTATTTATTTACTTCATTTGTATACTGCTTTTCTCAGCCCTTAGGTGACTCAAAATGGTTAAAAATAGCAAAAATTCAATGCTAAACATCATAAAAACCAGTTAAGGGACAATTAAAACAATAGCATAGTAAACAATTAAACATCAATATAACATCTCAATAGCGTCTCATCAGTAGAATCAAAATCCCATCTCATCATCCGTTGTTCCGTATTCCTATATTCATTACACTGCCTATTCAAATGCCTGCTCGAACAACCAGGTCTTCACTTTCCTCCGAAATGCCAATAGGGAGGGGGCCAATCTAATATCTGTAGGAAGGGCGTTCCACAGCCGAGGGGCCACCACTGAGAAGGCCCTGTCTCTCGTCCCTACCAGGTGATGGCTGATGTGGCCCTCCATGAACATGCACTTGACGATCCTGCTCTAAATCATGCACAAACCAGCTCTAAATCATGCACAATTCAATAGAAAGGACTCTGGGCAGATAAGGAGTCTTCAAACAAATCAGCTGTCAGATCCTATCCAGTCAAGCGAGAGCTGAAGCGTTTCAGTATGTGCGAATAGACGCATACTGTAATGTCATTCTTGTTCTTCTTCCTCCTCCTCTTCATCCATGTTTTCGTTGGCAGCCATTTCTCTCTCTGCTTTTTCCCTGTAGGTTTTCCACGACGACGACATTATTCCTGGGTGGGAGGGGAAGATTGTGGCCTGGGTGGAAGAGGACCACGGGGAGAACTAGGCAGATTCACGGCCTCTCTCTTTGTCGCGAAACGCCACCGCCGTCTCTTGTTGCGCTTGCCAGAAACTGACCCGAGAAGCATGTGAACGGAGACGCATCTGACTCGTAACTGCCAAAAGTTTGCAAAACTTCCGACGGGTGTAAAGGTCTGCCGCATACGAGGATGGCTGACGTTCCCATTTCATGGCCAAAAGTTGTACATTTCACAAAAAACGGGGTGGGAACGAACCACCTCTCTGTGTTAAGTCCATGTCGGCCTTAAGTCCGTGTCCCCTCAACCTTCTCAGTCCTGTCGATGGTCATGGTGACCCAGAGGACTGTCGTTGGAGGCGTCCAGTATTAGGAGGGACACTGAATGGCCCAAACTGGAAGCTGTGACCACGTTCTCTGTATCTGCATCTCATTCCAAATGACTCCCTTTTCTGCAGCAAAAGCCCGTTCTGGTCTGTCGTCGTCCGGAATCTGGAGAAGGACAAGTGAAATGGACATGGATGGACGACCCAGCGCGTCGGGATGGTTGCTTTTGCTTTTCTTGAAGGACTTCCATGATTTTGATTTGTTATGTTTTGGAATACATGCCAGGAAGATCCTTTGCCCTTTTCTCAAAAACATTCCCATATTTGTCCTTTTTTGGGTGCCTCCACACCAGGCATGAGCAAACTTCGGCCCTCCAGGTGTTTTGGACTACAACTCCCACAATTCCTAACAGCCGGTAGGCTGTTAGGAATTGTGGGAGTTGAAGTCCAAAACACCTGGAGGGCCCAAGCTTGCCCATGCCTGATCTACACTATAGAATGAATGTGGTTTGACACCACTGGCTCTTGAATCGTGTGAGTTGTATGATGTTTTTTAGCCTTCTCTGCCAAAGTAAGGCCACAGCAGCATCTGTTATAGAATTACAATATGTTGACGATATCATACTCTGTGCTCATTCAGAGGAGGGCTTACAAGCTGCTTTGCAGAAGTATATGGAAAGCTTGGCCTCTCACTGAACATCGGACACAGTGTTGGCGCCCCACCAAAGTACAATTAGAGTGGTGTCAAACCGAATTAAATCTGCAGTGTAGATGCACCCCTTGTGTCACAGCCTAGACTTGTGTGTATTGATGCACCAGCATTCTGGATGTCCCATGTGAGACTGCAAACTTCGATGGAAAACATGATTTCTATCATTTTATAGATGTTATGATTATATAGGACTTTTTTTTGGTAAATTGTTCCTGTTTTGGGGGATCATTTTGTACCCATTGATGTCATTGTTGTTCAAGGACAGTGTATATTTTTATAATACCGGTGTAAGTGCTTCTTTTTCCTGTATATTTCTGCAGCACGCACACACAGTATTGGAATTTTTCTTTTCTCTTCTTCCTCTACAGCAGCCATGGGCAAAATTTGGTCCCTTTCCTTTCCCCCCTCGGCAGCCTCAGTCCCTTTCTTTTCCCCCCTCAGCAGCTTTAGTCCCCTTCCTTTCCTCCCTCGGCAATCTCAGTCTCTTTCCTTTCCCCCCTCAGCAATTTTAGTCCCCTTCCTTTCCTCCCTCGGCAATCTCAGTCCCTTTCCTTTTCCCCCTCGGCAGCCTCAGTCTCTTTCCTTTTCTCCCTCGGCAGCCTCAGTCCCTTTCCTTTCCCCCCCTCAACAGACTCAGTCCCTTTTCTTTCCCCCCTCAGCAGCCTCATTCTCTTTTCTTTCCCCCCTCTGCAACCTCAGACCCTTTCCTTTTCCCCCTCGGCAGCCTCAGTCCCTTTCCTTTTTCCTCTCAGCAGCCTCAGTAACTTTCCTTTCCCCCTCGGCAGCCTCAGTCCCTTTCCTTTCCCCCCTCGGCAGCCTCAGTCCCTTTCCTTTCCCCCCTCGGCAGCCTCAGTCCCTTTCCTTTTCCCCCTCGGCAGCCTCAGTCCCTTTCCTTTCCCCCCTCGGCAGCCTCAGTCCCTTTCCTTTCCCCCCTCGACAGCCTCAGTCTCTTTTCTTTTCCCCCTCAGCAGCCTCATTCTCTTTTCTTTCCCCCCTCTGCAACCTCAGACCCTTTCCTTTTCCCCCTCGGCAGCCTCAGTCCCTTTCCTTTTTCCTCTCAGCAGCCTCAGTAACTTTCCTTTCCCCCTCACAGCCTCAGTCCCTTTCCTTTTCCCCCTCGGCAGCCTCAGTCCCTTTCCTTTCCCCCCTCAAGACTCAGTCCCTTTTCTTTCCCCCCTCAGCAGCCTCATTCTCTTTTCTTTCCCCCCTCTGCAACCTCAGTCCCTTTCCTTTCCCCCCTCGGCAGCCTCAGTCCCTTTCCTTTCCCCCCTCGGCAGCCTCAGTCCCTTTCCTTTCCCCCCTCGGCAGCCTCAGTCCCTTTCCTTCCCTCGACAGCCTCAGTCCCTTTCCTTTCCCCTCGACAGCCTCAGTCCCTTTCCTTCCCCCCTCGGCAGCCTCAGTTCCTTTCCTTTTCCCCCTCAGCAGCCTTAGTCCCTTTCCTTCCCCCCTCGGCAGCCTCAGTCTCTTTTCTTTCCCCCCTCGACAGCCTCAGTCCCTCTCTTTTCCTCCCTTGGCAGCCTCAGTCCCTGTCCTTTCCCCCCTTGGCAGCCTCAGTCTCTTTCCTTTCCCCCTCGACAGCCTCAGTCTCTTTCCTTTCTCTCCTCGGCAGCCTCAGTCCCTTTCCTTTTCACCCTCAACAGCCTCAGTCTCTTTCCTTTCCCTCCTCGGTAGCCTCAGTTCCTTTCTTTTCCCTCTCGGCAGCCTCCGTCCCATTCCTTTTCACCCTTGGCAGCCTCAGTCCCTTTCCTTCCCCCCTCGACAGCCTCAGTCTCTTTTCTTTCCCCCCTCGACAGCCTCAGTCCCTCTCTTTTCCTCCCTTGGCAGCCTCAGTCCCTGTCCTTTCCCCCCTTCGGCAGCCTCAGTCTCTTTCCTTTCCCCCCTCGACAGCCTCAGTCCCTTTCCTTTCCCCCTTCACAGCCTCAGTCTCTTTCCTTTTTCTCCTCGGCAGCCTCAGTCCCTTTCCTTTTCACCCTCAACAGCCTCAGTCTCTTTCCTTTCCCCCCTCGGCAGCTTCAGTCTCTTTTCTTTTCCCCCCTCGGCAGTGGCGGGGGGGGGGGGGGAGGAAGCGGCCTGAGGCTGTTAGGAATGGTGGAATGGTGGGAGTTGAGGTCCAAAACATCTGGAGTGCTGAATTTTGCCCAAGGCTGCTCTAGAGAATGCTGGGATGTTTCCCACTGCATCCTTTGAATGCCATTCTCTGTGGCTCTTGTAATTAGTTTTATTTTACTATCAAGGTACGACAGGATCTTTAAAAAATGGTTTTATATTTCTCCAGCGAGTTCTTGTATAGGTATTTTATGTGTTGTTCCTCTAGAAAGAGCGGTAGTGCCTTTCTAACCTGTGTCCGCTGTTAGCATTCGGAGCGTGGTCTTCGTCGTCATTCGGAACAACTGAAAAGGAGGGGGGAAATCGTTCCTTTCTCTAAGAAGAAGGGGAAAAACCCCTTACTTCCTTTCGTGGAATTAACTGCCGGTTTCTCTGTTGCATGAGTTTTTGTACATTGCGAAAGACAGCATGGAGTTAACTTTACGGAAACGAACGAAATATTGTCTGGTTTTCTTCAACAAGGGTTAGGTGCTTCATGGTGTTTTTAAACTGCATTTCAGTTGAGTTAATTTTTCCATTTTGTAAACGCAAGGCAGGTGGTCATTTCAGAAAAGGGCTGAGCAATCCTACACACAGTTTACTACTTTAAATCCCATGGATTTTGATGCAACCAGCCCAAGATTTTGCAGGACATTCGCTTAAGACCTTTCAGCATTCATAAAGTTGAAGCATGTTATAATCTTCGCCTAAGATCTTCGATTTGTCAAAGGCTTTTATGGCCGAATCACTGGGTTGCTGTGAGTTTTCCGGGCTGTATGGCCATGTTCCAGAAGCATTCTCTCCTGCCGTTTCACCCACATTTACGGCAGCATCCTCAGAGGTTGTGAGGTCTTGTCGAAGGCTTTCATGGCCGGAATCACTGGGTTGTAGGTTTTTCCGGGCTATATGGCCATGTTATAGAAGCATTCTCTCCTGACGTTTCGACTGCATCTATGGCAAGCATCCTCAGAGGTAGTGAGGTCTGTTGGAACTAGGAAAAGGTTTAAATATATGTGGAATGGCCAGGGTGGGACAAAGGACTCTTGTCTGCTGGAGCTAGGTGTGAATGTTTCAACTGACCACCTTGGAACTAGGAAAATGGGTTTATATATCTGTGGAAAGACCAGGGTGGGACAAAGGACTCTTGTCTGCTGGAGCTAGGTGTGAATGTTTCAACTGACCACCTTGATTAGCATTTGATGGCCTGACAGTGCCTGGAGCAATCTTTTGTTGAGAGGTGATTAGATGTCCTTGATTCTTTCCACAGATATATAAACCCAATTTTCCTAGTTCCAACAAACCTCACTACCTCTGAGGATGCTTGCCATAGATGCAGGCGAAACATCAGGAGAGAATGCCTCTAGACCATGGCCATATAGCCCGAAAAAACCTACAACAACCCAGTTGTGAGGCCTGTTGGAAACCAGGCGAGTGGAGTTTATTTCTCTGTGGAATGATGTCCAGGGTGGGAGAAAGAACTGGGAATGTTCCAACTGGCCACCTTAGCATTTAATGGCCTTGCAGCTTCAAATCCTGGCTGCTTCCTGTTTGGGGGAATCCTATGTTGGGAGGTGTTAGCTGCCCCTGATTGTTTCAAGCTACAATTTATTTATTATTTATTTGCGACATTTATATGTCGCCCTTCTCACCCTAAAGGGGTCTCAGAGCAGCTTACAAGATATATATATTATTAGCATAGTTATATAAGTTAAATAATAATAATAATAATAATAATAATAATAATCTTTATTTATACCTGCCACCATCTCCCCAATGGGGACTCGAAGCAGCTTACATGAGGCCAAGCCCAAACAACAATTACAGTAAAGAGAAACCGAACGTAAAACGAAAACGCAAACAATAAACAACAACATCATAATAACATAACACATGTGAATGCACAACAATATAATATTACAGTAAACACAAATACAGTGACAATGGGCGGACTACATGTAATGGTTAAAAGAAGAACTAATTAAAACCGGTTAAAAATACATTATATCGTGAGCACAGTACAATATCAGTGCTATACATTGCTATATTGTACTATACAATTATAATGTAATATTACTAGTAATATTACATGTAATATAAAATATATAATTATAATATTATTATTAATATTATACTGTATGATGATGCAGTTTTGAAATTTTAATTATCTTTACAAGGCCATTAAATGCTAATCAAGGTGGCCAATGGGAACAATCAGGTGGAAACAGGGGCAGCTCACACCTCCCAACATAGGATTCCCCCAGACAGGAAGCAGCCAGGATTTGAAGCTGCAAGGCCATTAAATGCTAACCAAGGTGGTAGTTGCCTCAAGCCGACAAGAGCTCTTTCTAAATGCTAATTAAGGTGGCCAATGGGAACAATCAGGTGGAAACAATCAGGGGCAGCTCACACTTCCCAATATAGGATTCCCCCAGACAGGAAGCAGCCAGGATTTGAAGCTGCAAGGCCATTAAATGCTAATCATGGTGGTAGTTGCCTCAAGCCAACAAGAGCTCTTTCTAAATGCTAATCAAGGTGGCCAATGGGAACAATCAGGTTAAAACAATCAGGGCCGGCTAACACCTCCCAGCATAGGATTCCCCAGACAGGAAGCAGCCAGGATTTGAAGCTGCAAGGCCATTAAATGCTAACCAAGGTGGTAGTTGCCTCAAGCAGACAAGAGCTCCCTTTCTCTATAATGCCCACTTGCCTAGTTTCCAACACTCACAACCTCTGGCATAGACATGGGCGAAACGTCAGGAGAGAATGCTTCTGGAACATGGCCAGACAGCCCGTACAACTCACCGCAACCCAGTGATTCTGGCCATGAAAGCCTTTGACAACACATATTGATATTTTGCCTAATATCTTTGGTTTGTTTATTGTATACCTACAATAATACCAAAGATATAACCTTACAGTGAATTTTCAGCACTGGAGGATCCAAGACCCTTGTTCCGAATCCTATATATGTGCAAAAGCCTTGTACATCCCAGGTTTATCAATCCTCTTCTTGTCGTCTTTGCAGAGTGAGGTCAACATGGATTATTAATGGGACCAACGGGCAATATGCATTTTTAATGAGGAGAGAGCGTTGTCGTTCTTTTCGTCTTTGTGGCTGATTTGTTTTGCTTCCTTCTGCAATTCCTTTCTGGGTCTGTGTCCTTGCAGAACCAACATCGCAAACGTTCCATACCAGGCTTAGGCAAACTTTGGCCCTCCGGGTGTTTTGGACTCCAACTCCCACAATTCCTAACAGCCGGTAGGCTGTTAGGAATTGTGGGAGTTGGAGTCCAAAACACCCAGAGGGCCAAAGTTTGCCCATACCTCTTCTATACTCTTCTGTTTTGCCTAGAAATGTTGTGATTGCAAAATTCTTTCTCTGTGACCAAGGAAGACCTGGACCTTGTTTGTGTGCCGTTGACCGTTGGACGTACTTTTGATCCGAGGACCAAGACTTTAAAGGAAAGGAACTTTTAATAAAGTCTTCAAAATAAGCCTGGTTTGTTTCGTTACTACTTCTATAGGCCCAGGAGTCTTTCAAGGAGGTCCATAAGTGATTGTGGAGACCTATTCCGGATCCACATGATGGTCATTCACTATGAAGACATACATTTCCAGAGGGAAGGTGGTCCCAACAAGGGTTTGCTTGAGGAACCTTCTCAGGACGTTTCTCCCTTTCGTCCTCTGATCCTTCCTTCTCAAAATCAGAAGTCAGTTGATCACAACTGACTTCCAGTTAGATGCTTGAGGGCCAGGATCTCTCTATGTTTTTGGTGTTTATGTCACTTCACTTAGGTGATCCCTCATTGGCCGAGTAGGATAGTCTTCCAGGATCAGTGTTCTGGTGGGTCCGTAGGTGACCGTGGAGCCCCATTCTTGATCTGCATCTTCTCCTGCAGTGAGGGCATTGGTTTCCAGTTGGAGGGTGGGCTCGGTTGCTCTCTTTCACCCTCCATTTGTGTCTCTTCAAATTCTGCAGCACTGCTGGTCACAGCTGACCTCCAGCTGGAGTGCTCAAGGGCCAGGGCTTCCCAGTTCTCAGTGTCTATTCCAGAGTTTTTAAGGTTGGCTTTGAGCCCATCTTTAAATCTCTTTTCCTGTCCACCAACATTCGTTTTCCGTTCTTGAGTTCGGAGTAGAGCAACTGCTTTGGGAGACGGTGGTCAGGCATGCGGACAACGTGGCCGGTCCAGCGGAGTTGATGGTGGAGGAGCATCGCTTCAATGCTGGTGGTCTTTGCTTCTTCCAGCATGCTGACGTTTGTCCGCCTGTCTTCCCAAGAGATTTGCAGGATTTTCCGGAGGTAGCGCTGATGGAATTGTTCCAGGAATTGCATGTGACGTCTGTAGACAGTCCACGTCTCGCAGGTGTATAGAAAGGTTGGGAGGACAAGCACCTTGGTAGCAAATTTGTTGAGAGGTGATTAGATGTCTACCAACACAGCGCCCAAACACGAATCAAGGAACATGAATGGCACTGCAGACTACTTCAACCAGAGAAGTCAGCCATAGCAGAGCACCTGATGAACCAACCTGGACACAGCATATTATTGGAGAACACAGAAATGCTGGACCACTCTCACAACCACCATGTCAGACTACACAGAGAAGCCATTGAAATCCACAAGCATGTGGACAATTTCAACAGAAAGGAGGAAACCATGAAAATAAACAAAATCTGGCTACCAGTATTAAAAAACTCTAAAATTAGAACAGCAGAACAACAGAGAGGAAACAAACAAGGACATCTAATCACCTCTTAACAAAAGATTGCTCCAGGCACTGCCAGGCCATCAAATGCTAATCAAGGTGGTCAGTTGAAACATTCACACGTAGTTCCAGCAGGTAAGAGTCCTTTGCCCCACCCTGGTCATTCCACAGATATATAAACCCATTTTTCCTACTTCCAACAGACCTCACTACCTCTGAGGATGCTTGCCATAGATGCAGGCGAAACATCAGGAGAGAATGCCTCTAGACCATGGCCACATAGCCTGAAAAAACCTACAACAACCCAATATATTAGATTGCATATACATATAATATTTATAATATTATAATGTAATACAATATAATACTAGCAATAATCATACAATACTATAATTACATGTAATATTACTAATAATATTAGTTATATTAGTAATAATATTACAATATAATGGTATAGTGCAATATAGTAATATAATACAATATATTATATTATTAGTGCAATATAGTTATATATTGCACTAATAGGGCTGAGAATAGCGGTATAAAAATGAAGTAAATAAATAAATAAATAAATAGTACAATATAGTAATATATAACACTGCTAATAATATAATATATTGTATTTATATATATATATATATCTTGTAAGCCGCTCTGAGTCCCCTTCGGGTTGGGAAGGGCGGCATATAAATGTCATAAATAAATAAATAAAAATAATATTAATTATATTATGAATAATATATTAGATTGCATATACATATAATATTTCTAACATAATGTAAAACAGTATAATATTACTAATAATATTATAATATTATAATTATATATTTAAATTACATGTAATATTACTAATAGTATTACAATATAATGGTATAGTACAATATAGTAATATATAACGCTGCTAATAATATAATGTATGTATGTGTATATATATATATATATATGTGTGTGTGTGTGTGTATATATATATCTTGTAAGCCACTCTGAATCCCCTTCAGGTTGGGAAGGGCGGCATATAAATATTATTATTATTATTATTATAAATGTCATAAATAAATAAATAAAATAATTAATATAATTATATTATTATATTATGAATAATATATTAGATTGCATATACATATAATATTTAAATAAAAAATTAATATTAATTATATTATATTATATTATTAGTAATATATTGTATATACATATATTTATAATATTATAATGTAATATAATACTTGTAATACAATATTATAATTATATATTTAAATTACATGCAATATTACTAATAATATTGCATAAACATATAGTATTTATAATATTATAATGTAATACTATATAATACTAGTAACTATCATACAATACTATAATTACATGTAGTATTACTAATAATATTACAATATAATGGTATAGTGCAATATAGTCATATATTGCATTGCTAGTAATATATAGCAATGGCCCTAGTGTCAACAGTTGCTTTCGCGCGTGCGCAGAAAAGCCCTCCGCCAGCCGCGCCTGAAAGGCACGGGAGAGGGCGCGACTACCGCGCATGCGCCCGGAGGACTCGGGATTGCTAATAATATATATCAATGGCCCTAGTAGTGTCAACAGTTGCTTTCGCGCGTGCGCAGAAAAGCCCTCCGCCAGCCGCGCCTGGAAGGCACGGGAGAGGGCGCAACTTCCGCGCATGCGCCTGGAGGAGACGGGAAGCCCCGCCCACCTCTCCTTGGTTTCTTTACGGCCGCCTGTTTTTGCGGCAGTGTCGTGCGCCCTCTGCTTCTTTCCGGGAGGCACAGCCAGAGAGGCAGGAGAGGGAGGTCAGTTAGAGAGCGGAGGCGGCGAAGGAAGGAAGGAAGGCAGGCAGGCGAGGGCCGGGCGTGGGCCTAGTCGCCGAGGGGAGCGATGTGGCGGGCGCTGGCCAGGCGCGTGGCCCGGCAGTGCGCGGCCCCGAGACGGGCGGGGGCGAGCGCGGGGGAGAGGGCGCGGAGTCGCGCCTGGGCCCACCACCAGGCCTCGGCCTCCTCCTCCTCGGCCTTCTCTTCGCCTCCTTGGGGCGGGAGGGCGCTGCTGCTTCTCCCTCGAGCCGGAGCCAAGACAGCCGGGCCTCAGGCCGCCCCTTCCCGGCCCTGGAGCAGCTACCCGACCCACCAGAAGGTGACACTTGGGGGCTCTTCTGAGGGGGAAAGGGGGACAAAGACGATATTGACATATGAGAGCAGGCATGGGCCAACTTGGGCCCTCCCTCCAAGCAAAATAGCAGAAGGAAAACAATCAGCTAATCACCTCTCAACAAAAGATTGCCTCAGGCGCTGCCAGGCCATCCAATACTAATCAAGGTGGTCAGTTGAAACATTCACACGCATTCCAGGCAGGAAACAATCAGGGCCAGCTAACACCTCCCAAGCAAGGATTCCCCCCAGGCAGTAAGAAGCCAGACCTTGAAACTGCTAGGCCATTAAATGCTAATCAAGCTGGCCAGTGGCAACATTCATGCTTGCTTCAAGCAGACAAGACATTGGGATGTTGTAGGTTTTTCCGGGCTATATCGCCATGTTCTGGAGGCAATTTTTTCTCCTGACGTTTCATCTGCATCTATGGCAAGCATCCTCAGAGGTAGTGAGGTCTGTTGGAAGTAGGAAAAAGGGTTTATATATCTGTGGAAAGACCAGGGTGGGACAAAGGACTCTTGTCTGTTGGAGCTAGGTGGGAATGTTTCAATTGACCACCTTGATTAGCATTTGATAGCCTGGCAGTGCCTGGAGCAGTCTTTTGTTGAGGGGTGACTAGATGTCCCTGATTCTTTCCACAGATATATAAACCCATTTTCCTAGTTCCAACAAACCTCACTACCTCTGAGGATGCTTGCCATAGATCAGTGATGGGCAACCTTTTGAGCTTGATGTGTCAAAATTGAGGTCTGTTGGAAGTAGGAAAAAGGGTTTATATATCTGTGGAAAGACCAGTGTGGGACAAAGGACTCTTCTCTGCTGGAGCTAGGTGTGAATGTTTCAATTGACCAACTTCATTAGCATTTGAAGGCCTGGCTGAGTCTGGGAAAATCTCTGGTTGAGAGGTGTTAAGATGTGCCTGGTTGTTTCCTCTCTGCTGTTTTGCTGTTGTAATTTTAGAGTTTTTTAATACTGGTAGCCAGATTTTATTCATTTTCATGGTCTCTTCCTTTCTGTTGAAATTTATTTATTTATTTATTTATTTACTTTGCTTATATACCGCTGTTCTCAGCCCAGGGGCGACTCACAGCGGTGTACAACATAGGAACCACAAAATTCAAAACACAGTATAAAACAATTCACAATCCAGCATTATACAAAAACATCGTCATTACTACGAAAACCATTCAGCGTCGTCTCATCGTCCAAACCACAATCCAGTATCATTTTCCGTTGTTCCATTCCTATAGTCATTACCAATCATTGCACTTCTTGTTCGAACGCCTTCTTGAACAACCAAGTCTTTAATTTCCTGCGGAATATCATCAGGGAAGGAGCCAGTCTAATGTCCACGGGAAGGGTGTTCCACAGCCGAGGAGCCACCACCGAGAAGGCCCTATCTCTCGTCCCTGCCAGCCGTGCTTGTGAAGCAGGCGGGATCGAGAGCAGGGCCTCCCCGGAAGATCTCAAAGTCCTGGTGGGCTCGTAGGTCGAGATGCGGTCAGATAGGTATCTTGGGCCGGAACCTTTAAGGCTTTATAGGCCAATGCCAGCACCTTGAATTGAGCCCGGTAGCAAATCGGCAGCCAGTTGAAATGGTCCACATGCTTGTGGATTTCAATGGCTTCTCTGTGTAGTCTGACATGGTGGTTGTTGGTGTGGTCCAGCATTCCTGTGTTCTCAAATAATATGCTGTGTCCAGGCTGGTTCATCAGGTGCTCTGCTATGGCTGACTTCTCTGGTTGAAGTAGTCTGCAGTGCCTTTCATGTTCCTTGATCGTGTTTGGGCAATGCTGCGTTTGGTGGTCCCTCTGTAGACTTGTCCACAGCTGCATGGTATACGGTAGACTCCTGCAGAGGTGAGAGGATCCCTCTTGTCTTTTGCTGAATGTAGCATTTGTTGGATTTCCTTGGAGGGTCTGTAGATAGTTTGTATGTTGTGTTTTCTCATCAGCTTCCCTATACAGTCAGTGGTTCCCTTGATGTATGGCAAGAACACTTTTCCTCTGGGTGGATCTTCATCCACAGATACATAAACCCCCCTTGCCTCGTTTCCAACAGTCCTCACAACCTCAGAGGATGCCTGCCATTGATGTGGGCGAAACGTCAGAAGAGAATGCTTCTGGAACATGGCCAACATGGCCTGGAAAACTCACAGTTTTTGCGGTTTAGTAAATTTTCCCCATGTTTTTATGGTAGTCCCAATTAGGAAATGACATTTACAACCCAGGAACAAAAATAATCTTGCCTAGTGTAACCCAGGGGTCCTCAAACTTTTTATGAAGAACAATTTTAACAAATATAACCTTATTAATATTTCAGTGGGAAGTGTGGGCCTACTTTTGGCTGATGAGATAGGAATGTTGTTGTTGTGTGCTTTCAAGTAGTTTCAGACTTAGGTTGACCCTGAGTGAGGGCCAGGTAAATGACCTTGGAGGGCCGTATCCAGCCCCGGGCCTTAGTTTGAGGACCCCTGGTGTAACCCATTGCCAGGTTCTGGACAAAGCAGTTCAAGGAGGAAGGTGTCTGGAGAAAGGCCACGCAAATGACAGAAGGTTTGTAAACCCTGCATCCCTCTGAGGAGAGGCTTAAGGAGTTGGGGGTGTTCAGCTTGGAGAAAAGAAGGTTGAAAGAGGATGCGATGGCCATGTTTTGGTGTTGGAAAGTAGGAGGAAATAGGCTTCTTTTCTGCTGCTCCAGAGACTAGGACACAATGGAGCCGTGTATCCAACCTGCAAGAAAAGAGATTCTACTTAAACATTAGGAAGAGTTTCCTGATAAAGGCATTCAGCGGTGGAATATGCTTCTACCTGGGAATCCTCTTTTAAACAGAGGCTGGATGGCCCTCTGTTAGGAGGGCCTGGGTGTGTCTTTGTGCCTGGAAGAAGAGGTTAGAATGTGTAGCCTTTGGGGTCCCTTCCAACTTTCTCTCCTTGACCCCTTTCCCCTTTGCAGGTGCCTTTGCCCGCTCTCTCGCCCACAATGCAGATGGGGACCATCGCTCGGTGGGAGAAGAAGGAAGGCGACAAGATCTGCGAAGGGGATCTCATTGCAGAGGTAACCTGGACATGTTAGACCAGGTATGGGCAAACTTTGGCTCTCCTCCAGGTGTTTTGGACTTCAACTCCCCACAATTCCTAGCAGCTGGTAGGCTGTTAGGAATTGTGGGAGTTGAAGTCCAAAACACCTGGAGGAGAGCCAAAGTTTGCCCATGCCTTAGCTAAAGGGTCTCGCTTTGCACCTGAGCATTAGCATTACAAAAGCTGTAACCACACTGCTTTTCTGCCTCTGAAGGTGGAGACAGACAAAGCAACCGTAGGGTTCGAAAGCCTCGAAGAATGTTACCTTGCTAAGATCCTGGTGCCGGAAGGAACGCGGGACGTCCCCATTGGAGCTATCATATGCATCACTGTCGACAAGTGAGTACAATCGGGAGCGTCTTTTGAAATATGCTTTGTTTACTACTCTTTATTTACATTTCTGACTCTTTTGAATAAGAGCCTCCCCAACTTCCTTCTGTTGAAGTTGAGGCTCCTTCTATTATTATTATTATTATTATTATTATTATTATTATTATTATTATTATTATGAGATACACAGGAGCGTCTTTTTTTAGTATGCTTTGTTTGCTACTCTTTGTTTACATTTCCGACTCTTTTCAATAAGAGCCTCCCCAACTTCCTTCTGTTGACATTGAGGCTCCTTCTTTATTATTATTATTATTATTATTATTATTATTATTATTATGAGATGCACGGGAGCGCCTTTTTAAATATGCTTTGTTTGCTACTCTTTGTCTACATTTCCGACTCTTTTCAATAAGAGCCTCCCCAACTTCCTTCTGTTGAAGTTGAGGCTACTTCTTTATTATTATTATTATTATTATTATTATTATTATTATTAGATACCCAACAAGATTATTCCACAGCAAACAAGATCACTCTGCTGGCTGTTGTATGAATCACACATCTGACACTTCCCAAGTGTCTAGGACTATGTGATGTATTGGCAAATAATGTGTGCAGATCTGAGCAGGGCGGCCCTTTGCAGTGACTGATGGTAATTTTGTCAACGCCAATTGTTTTTAAGTGCAGGCCAAGGTCTTTAGGCACTTCACCGAGTGTACTGATCCCCACTGGGACCCCCTTGACTGGCTTGTGCCAGAGTCTTTGCAGTTCAATCTTTAAATCCTTGTATTGTGCCAGCGTTTCCAGTTGCTTCTCTTCAATTCAGGCATTCTCAGAGGTTGTGAGGTCTGTTGGAAACTAAGCAAATGAGGTTTATAAATCTGTGGAATGATGTCCAGGGTGGGAGGAAGAACTCTTGTCTGTTTGATGCAGGTGTGAATGTTACAATTGGCCACCTTGATTAGCATTGAAAAGCCTTGCAGCTTCAAAGCTTGGCTGCTTCCTGCCTGGGGGAGTCCTTTGCTGGAAGGTGTTACCTGGCTCTGATTGTTTCTTCCAATATTACTAATGCTTCTTTGAAGTTTTCTAGAGAATCTTCAATTATTGTTATTAATAGGTAATCAGTGAATGCTCTTGGTTAAAAATACCGTATATACTCGAGTATAAGCTGACCCGAATATAAGCCGAGGCACTTAATTTTACCACAAAAAACTGGGGAAATGGATTGACTCGAATATAAGCCGAGGGTGGGAAATGCAGCAGCTACTGGTAAATTTCAAAATAAAAATAGATACCAATAAACTTATATTAATTTAGGCATCAGTAGGTTAAATGTTTTTGAATATTTACATAAAACTATAATTCAAGATAAGACTGTCCAACTCTGATTAAACTATTATTCTAACCTTTGTCAATGTAAATATGCTTATGTATCCTTCCAATAATAATAAATAGAGTATAATAATAATAATAGAGTAAAATAATAAATGTAATAATAACAGTAATAATAGAGTAAAATAATAAATGAAACAAAAACAATACAGTAAAATAATAAATGAAACAATAACAATAATAAATAGAGTAAAATAATAAATGTAATAATAACAATAATAAAATAATAAATGCAATAATAATAATAACAAAGTAAAATAATCAATAACCTTGACTCGAGTATAAGCCGGGGAGACTTTTTCAGCTTAAAAAAAGGAATGAAAAACTAGGCTTATACTCGAGTATATACAGTACTTGATTTTTCATCCTCTAATGTTTTCATTTTCCCTTATTTTTCAAAGGAGTACTTTGAATACTAGTATAAATAGTGAGCTTGGGCAGCCTTGCGCCTTCGTGTATCATGCACTTCTTTGTTAATGCTCTATTTATCACTGTTTATGCCTTTTGAATTTTACATGTTAACGATTCTATCCCATTGTTACCGAAACCCATTTCTTCCCTAGTATTAAGAATGTAATTTCCCAATTTATATTGTCAAATGCCTTTTCTGGATCTAGGGCTGCCATTTTTTTCCATTTTGTTTATCTTAAATCTATATTATTCTCCTCCCTTTGAAATATTATCTAGTCATATTGTTACATTTGGTGAAGCTCATCTAATTCATTATCTTTTACAATTGACAATTGCTCCCATTATTTTTGTTGCTGTGAAAAAGGTAACAAATCCCACTCTTTCTTGAAATTGAGCAAAGATTTTGGCCTAATTTTTATCTTGTCCACCTTACTGTAATTGAAATATTGGAAAGGTCAGCCATGCAGACCCCAAGAATGTATTGATGGTGCATGCCAATGGTGCCGGAGGGTGCATTTACACTTTTACTATGTCGTCCCTGTGGCTCATGGTGCCTTCCTGCTTCTTCCTAGGCCTGAGCTTGTTGATGCCTTTAAGAGTTACACTTTGGATGCTGCAGCCACTGCTCCTCCAGCCTCAGTGCCTCCTCCTTCTCCGGCGTCAGCGCCATCCACACCGGCATCTCAACCCTCCGCTCGGGCTCCAGGGAGCTCCTACCCTCCTCACATGCAGGTACGGTTACAGGCTTCTTATCACTCTTTTCTGCAGCATTTGTGTCCTTTATTGTTTAGTTTACATTGCCTTCAAATCTCACTCAATGCAAGCCAAGATCCTCTGGAACACTTCCGCTGCCTCTTCTAAAACAATATTAATAATAATAATAATAATAATAATAATAATAATAATAATAATAATAATACATCACACAGTCTAGACGCTTGGGAAGTGTTCGACTCGTGATTTTTTTGATATTAAATCCAGCATATAGATCTCGTTTGCTGTGACATATTGTGCTTTTGTGTCAGTAAAATAATAATAATAATAATAATAATACCAATACAACAGCCAGCAGAGTGTCTGCTGTGGACTCTCTTGTTGTGTTTCAAATAATAATAATAATAATAATAATAATAATAATAATAATAATAATGCATCACACAATCCTAGACGCTTGGGAAGTGTTCGACTTGTGATTTTTAGATACGAAATCCAGCAAATACATCTCGTTTGCTATGACATATTGTGCTTTTGTGTTAGTAAAATAATAATAATAATAATAATACCAATATAACAGCCAGCAGAGTGATCTTGTTTGCTGTTGACTCATCTTGTTGTGTTTCAAATAATAATAATAATAATAATAATAATAATAAAAATATCACACAGTCTTAGACGCTTTGGAAGTGTTCGACTTATGATTTTGTGATATGAAATCCAGCATATATATCTCGTTTGCTGTGACATACTGTGTTTTTGTGTAGTAAAATAATCATAATCATAACAATATAACAGCCAGCAGAGTGATCTTGTTTGCTGTTGACTCATCTTGTTGTGTTTCAAATAATAATAATAATAATAAAAAAATAATAAAAAAATAATGCATCACACAGTCTTAGACGCTTGGGAAGTGATCGACTTGTGATTTTTGGATACGAAATCCAGCATATAGATCTCATTTGCTGTGAAATATTGTGCTTTTGTGTCAGTAAAATAATAATAATAATAATACCAATACAATAAACCAGGCATCACGATTGTGGAAAAGAAAAAAGTTTGGATTATTGATGTCGCCATGTCAGGTGACAGTCGCATTGAGGAAAAACAACAGGAAAAACTCAGCCGCTATCAAGACCTCAAAACCAAACTGCAAAGGCTCTGGCATAAACCAGTACAGGTGGTCCCAGTGGTTATTGGCGCACTGGGTGCCGTGCCAAAAGATCTCAACTGGCATTTGGAAACAATAAACATTGACAAAATCACAATCTGTCAACTGTACAAGGCCACCTGACTTGGATCTGCGTGCATCATTCAAAAATTCATCACACAATCCTAGACGCTTGGGAAGTGTTCAACTTGTGATTTTTTGATACGAAATCCAACATATAGATCTCATTTGCTGTGACATATTGGGTTTTTGTGTCAGTAAAATAATAATAATATATTTGTATTCAACCCTATCTCTGCAAGGGAGCTCAGGGTGGATTCCAACAATACAATGGCAAACATTCAATGTATCCATAAAAATCACACAGATGCTGACCTAAAATCCTGGTAAAAAAAACCCATATATGAAAGTAACATTAAGACCTAACATCAGTAAATTAAACCTAACTTCAATAAATTAAACTGCACATAGGCAGCAAAATTATATAATGACATAAAATCTGAGCAGATTTCCATAATTAATTTACAACAGCCAACTAGCGTTCACAAATTGGTGTGGGTTGGTTGTGTAGTCGAAAGATGGTCATTGGGCTGGCATGGAATAAGAGAGCCCAGATGCGGAATAATTCTCAATCAGAGGCCAGGAAATGATCACTCATTATCTAATCCTCCTCCTCTCCATATGCTAGTGAGCAAAAATAGATCTTCAGATGTTTTTTGAAAGAGAGGAGGGAGGAGACAGCTTTATTTTTTTTAGGGAGGGAGTTCCAGAGGTGGGGGGCAACCACAGAGAAGGTCCTGTCTCTCGATCCCACCAGCTGTAGTTGGGATGGGGATGGGACTGAGAGTAGGGCCTCCTCCTATGACCACAGTGCGCAGGCTGGTTTGTAAGAGGAGGTGCGAAGTGGGGTGAAATGTTAATGATTTGGGACAGTTGGCAAGTGAGGGTGGATAGGGGCAACTCAAGAGGTCCTGCTAGCTGATTCTTCTCCCTCCCCATAGAACTCAAGACCTATCTCTTTCAGCAACAGGCCCTATCCAGTCAATTTTAACTTGTTAATTTTAACCTGCATTTTCTCAGTGAATTTTAATTTGCATTTTACCTGTGTGCATTTTTATAGTGTTTTGACCATGTTGGTACCCGGCTTTGAGTTGCAAGGAAAGGCGGGAAATAAATTTATTATTATTATTATTATTATTATTATTGACATATGCTGAGAATTGATTATGCTGAGCAGAAGAGGGAACCCTTTGGTGCCATTTGTACCCCTTTCGTTACAGCTTTGCATAAAGAAGGCGCATCAGAGTTGCATGAACATTGCTGGGCTAGCTTTTGGATTTGTGAGGTTGTTGGTGCTGAATTTTCAGCAATGCAATAATAAAAGTATTGCATAATAGTTGCACTTTTCCCCTTTTTATCAAAAAAGGGGGTATGCCTATTATGTGAGGAAAAATTATAGTTTTTTAAAAAATAAACTATAGAGCCATTTGAGGCTGATTTTTCCTTCTTTCTCTGAAAAGGCAGTTTAAACTACTAAAACGGAGGTATCTGAAGCTCCACTCTTCTCTTTTTTTTCCTTCCTCCAAATTGGAATGGGGTTCTTTGGAGAAAGGAGGAAAGAGGGAAGAGTAGAGTTCCAGAAACATCCTTTTCAGGTTTTTTTATGCTGCCTTAAGACCTTGGAAGAAGGAGAAAGGAGAGAAGAGTTTGAGCTTCAGAGATCTCCATTTTGTAGTTTTTTACCTTGCCTTTGGAGAAAGAAGGAAGGGAGAATTGGGCTCAAATGGGGGTGCAATTATTATGTGAGGAAAACAAAATAATATAATTTTTGCCATCCCAAAAAAGTTGGGGTGTGACTATTATGCAGTGGTGACTACTGTGTGAGGAAAACAAAAAATACAGTTTTGGTGCTCAAAAAAGTAAGCGTATTGCTATTATGCGGTGGCGACTATTGTGTGATTAATTCTGGTATATGGTGCTCTCTCGATTTCCTAGATTGTCCTACCTGCCCTCTCCCCGACCATGACAATGGGCACCGTTCAGAGATGGGAGAAGAAATTGGGTGAAAAGCTGAGCGAAGGAGACCTCTTAGCAGAAATAGAGACGGACAAAGCGACGATAGGTGAGAAGCCTCTTGATTCTGGATTGAGGAGGGAGGATGAAAGAGACTCCCATGGCCACCTGATAGCCTGGGCTGATACTGCAGGAGCGGAGGCATTTTAAAACTCATTCCCATTCCACTGCCCAGAACATATCTATATTTTTTTGAATGAAGCTCAGGTTGAGATAGTGGGGAATCTCAAATCTTTTAGGGAAAAATGACATTCATAACCTTTTTGAAAAGGAAAAATGATGTCATATCCTGGGTTGTTGTAGGTTTATTTTGGGCTATATGGCCATGTTCTAGAGGCATAGATGCAGGCGAAACGTCAGAAGAGAATGCCTCTGGAACATGGCCATATAGCCCGAAAAACCTACAACAACCCAGTGATTCTGGCCATGAAAGCCTTCGACAATACGATGTTATATCCTTTTTGGCAAGTGTGAATCTCCATGAACATCTGGAGACCACTTTTTGAAAACCACGAGTCAAGGAAAGGCGTAACTGTGTTAGAAGTCAATCCTTTGAACAAGTGATGTTCACAAGCATTCATGTAATGTCACACAGGCAACTTGGCTGTTCAACTGATAACCATGCCTTTGAACTGCCAGGAACAAAGACATGCCGCTGCACAAAAAAAATGGCTAGCAGAGTTTTAGAATGTTTTGTTGCCGTTGAAATTGCAGTTGCCCAAAACATATACTCCCCCTTGAAACCTCTTAGTTTAAAACATGAACTCAGAGGGGAAAAAATCTTTTTAAACAAGTAACATACCTTGTTTACTCATAAACATCTTGTAGTAATTCAGTATACAGACACATTTCTTATTGTTCCAATTACAGATTGGATGTACATTCTCTGTGTTGGGAACACAGGGCATCATTCTTAATCAATAGTCCATAGTCCAAAGTCTTTAAGTAAACAGTTCTGGCCCAACGTACCTGTCCGAACGTATCTTCCCCTTATGAACCATCGAGGACCTTAAGATCGTCTGGGGAGGCCCTGCTCTTGGTCCCGCCTTTGTCACAAGTACATTTGGCGGGGACAAGAGACAGGGCCTTCTCAGTGGTGGCCCCTCGGCTTTAGAACCCCCTGCCTAAGGAGATCAGATCTGCACCCTCCCTCTTAATGTTTCAGAGGCAAGTTAAAACATGGCTGCTTGAGCAAGCATTTACAAATGCAGAGTAGCTAATATAGGAAACCGAACTGACTTGACGATGGAACTGGACAATGCTTGATAATAATGAGATGCTAATGATGTTGTTTTTATTGTTGTTGTGATGTTTTATATTGTTTATTGTTTTAATTGGTATTATGTTTTTATGTATACTGATTTGTTGGAAACCGCCGTGAGTCGCCGAATGGGTTGAGAAAGGCGGTATACAAATACAGTAAATAAATAAATAAATAAATAGACATAATAATAATAATAATAATAATAATAATAATAATAATACTTTATTTATACCCCGCTACCATCTCCCAAGGGACTCGGTGCAGCTTACATGAGGCCGAGTCCACAACACATCAATCACAAAGCAATAACAATTACAGTACGAAGCAAAATACAAATACTAATACAAAGCAATTAAAATAAATCTCATACAGAAATAGCATAAACATTGAACAGTGGCACAAAATACATTTTAAAAACTATGGCTGGGCCAAATGTAATTAAGTTAAAAAATAATGCTAGGCATGAACAAGATAGAGGAGGTAGGGCATTGGTGGAAACGTACGAGCAGTCCTAAATCAGTATAAAGTGCTTTTGGAGGACATAATGCTAAGGGTTCATTATTCTGGGAAGGCACACTGGAACAACCATGTCTTCAAGCTCCTCCTAAAGACTGCCAGAGTTGGGGCATGCCTGATGTCCTTAGGAAGTGAGTTCCAGAGTCGAGGGGCCACCACCGAGAAGACCCTCTCTCTCATCCCCACCAATCGTGCATGCGATGCAGGTGGGGGCGCGAGTAGGACCTCTCCAGATGATCGAAGAGATATGAAAGTCCAAACTGTATAACTGTACTCGCTGCTTCTCAACGCAAACATGTAGTAAACTGTTCCTGCATAAGGCCAAATGATATCTGCTTTCATTGAAGTCCAAATGCATATTGATAACAAAATGGAGTCTTGAGTCTGAACATGCGCATTACAATTGCATGTCTGTAGCCCTTCCCACACCAAAGAGGCCAGTCAAACTGGCAAATCAATATATACATACAATACAGGTTAGCAAATTAACAAACTATAGTGAATGCTTGGAAGGTTGCTGTTTCCAACAAAAACCACCCCAAAAGCCAGCAAAATAAGTCCTCCAAATTTGGTTCTCCGTGGATGTGAAGCTTTCCTCAGTCTCTTTGCTTCTGTCGGTCCCATTTCCAGATTAGTATCTCTCCCAGCCTGTGTGTAGAGTAAGATAACCAAGCCCTAGAAATGTGGCCTCGGTTGTGCCTCCTTCCTCTGTTATTCCTTTTCTCTCTTGTTGTAAGGCTTTGAAGTGCAAGAAGAAGGCTATTTGGCAAAAATCTTAGTGGCAGAAGGCACAAGGGATGTGCCTTTGGGGACACCGTTGTGCATCATCGTGGAGAGGGAGTCGGACATTGCCGCCTTTGCAGACTACAGAGATGCTGGAGTGGCCGAGATCAAACCTCCAGCGCCGCCACCACCTTCTCCTGTATGTACAACTCCAGGGTTTGCACACGTGGGTTGTTTGTTTCTGTGATGGGAAAGAAAAGTGTTGATCTTCTCATCCTTTTTTTCTAGACGGCAGGCGCAGTCGCTTCTCCTCTTTCTCCGCCGCAGCCTGCATCCAAAGGCCCCGTGCATAAAGGGAGAGTGGTAGCCAGCCCCTTGGCCAAGAAACTGGCCTCAGAGAAGGGAATTGATCTTTCGCAGGTGAAAGGTGAGTGAGCCTCCATCGTTCCGTCTGTCGCTCACTTGGTTGGTGGATGTTTGAACTATTGTTCCTTCCTGCATCTCGCCACCAGGTACGGGACCCGATGGAAGGATAACCAAGAAGGACATTGACTCATTTGTGCCATCAAAAGTAGCCCCGGTAAGTCAAAACAGAGGTCAAAGCAATCCCTTGGGGCTGTTGTAGTTGGATGAGAACTACATAGCCCCTTCATGCAAAGGAACGTGAATGTTCCACGTGTTTTATTTTCCATTATGTTATTTTGTACTGTTTATTTTACTTGATTGGTTTATTTATTTTATTGTGATGGTATTTTGTTGTTTATACTTTATGTTGCTGTAATGTATTGTTGGACTTGGCCTCATATAAGCCACTTTGAGTCCCTTTTGGGGAGATGATGGCGGGGTATAAATGATGATGACGACGATGATGATGTCCACAGCAGACACTCTGCTGACTGTTGAATTGGATCACATGTCGGACACTTCCCAAGTGTCTAGGACTGTGTGATGTATGGGTGAATAATGCGTGCAGATTCCAGTAAGGTGGCTTTCTGCAGCTTTCGTCAGCGCCGATTGTGTTTAAGTGCAGGCCAAGGTCTTTAGGCACTGCACCCAGTGTGCCGATCACCACTGGGGCCACCTTGACTGGCTTGTGCCAGAGTCTTTGCAGTTCGATCTTTAAATCCTCATATCGTGTCAGCTTTTCCAGTTGTTTCTCTTCAATCCTGCTGTTACCTGGGATTTGACTATCCATACTTGTTTTTTAACACAATTGTGAGGTCAGGAGTATTGCTCCCCCATTATTTTATTCATAACCTTTTGTAGTTGTGGTATGAGGATGTCTTGGAATGTCTTATAATACAAGGCCTGGAAGCCATCAGGTCCAGGAGCTTTGTTCGCTGGCATATTCTGTATCACTTTCTTTATTTCTTCTTGTGTGATTTTTTTTTTTGTTCAGGTGTTCTCTTTGTTCTTCTGATATTTTTGGTATCACCTGTGCTCCTAGATATTTCATTATTTTTCTCCTGGTATGTTGTCGTCTTTGTACAATTCTTTGTAGTATTTGGAAAATTGCTCGATAATTTCTTTTGTTTGGAAGTAACATTTACCCTGCGACACTATTTTCGTTATATGTCTGCTTTGTCTCCTTGTGGCAGTTTTTTTCGTTAGCCATTTCCCTATCTTATTGGCATTCTCAAAGTGGTATTGTCTTACGAATTTAAGCTTTTTCTTCTTCTAATTCTTCTGTTTGTAGTATGTCCATTTGTTTTCTAAGTAGTTTCAATTGAGTATTTATTTTTTTGTCTTTTGGGTTTTCTTTAGCTTTTGATTCCCATTTTATTATTTCTTTCTCAAGTTTATTATGGTATTTGTTGCACAAGTTCCAATGAATCATCTGAGCAACGGTGTTATGCCTCTGCTTGTAGTCTGTCTGCATCTTCTTGCAGCAGCTGAGGATGTGATCTATTGTTTCATCTGCTTCCTTGCAGAGTCTACATTTGGGATCTGTTGTACTTTTCAATTCTGGCTTTTATTATTATTATTATTATTGTTTTATATTATTATTATCTTATATTATTGTTGTTGTTGTTGGAGGTGAAGTGCGCTGGAGGCTTTTAAACAAAGGCTGGATGGCTATCTGTCGGGAGAGCTTTGATGGTTCTTTTTGTGCCTTGCAAAAGAGGGTTGCACTGGATGGCCCTTGGGGTCTCTTCCAACTTTAGGTTTCTAAAGATGTTATCAGATCCAGGATCCAATCCTTCTGTGTTGGTGCATATTGAACGTTTAAAGAATAACAATCTGCAGATGAAGGCATAGGCATCCCCATTGCTGCTCCCTTTGTTCTCCTTTCATGCTCCCCAGAAGTCCCTTTACCAACTTCAGTCTACCTTCAGTCACATAAATAAGCTGCGTAGCACTTCTCCTGACTCCTTTTCTGGCAATCCTTGTAACCAAAGTGCTTTCCTGCCCTTTTGGAGTGTGGTAGAGGCTCCTTCTTTGGACGCTTTTAAACAGTGGCTGGATGGCCATCTGTCAGGGGTGCCTTGAATGTGATTTTTCAACTTCTTGGCAGAATGGGGTTGGAGTGGATGGCCCTCGAGGTCTCTTCCATCTCAAGGATTCTATGATTTTATCTAGGCCCGGGCAGCAGAACCCCCTCCTATGGCAGCGCCAGCAGCAACGCCGGCTGCAGCCGCCCCACCAGGAGTCTTTACGGATATTCCCATCAGCAATATTCGCAAGGTAAGGCCTTACCCTTCCCACTTACTAAGGGCCAATAACTCTTCAAGGTCTAATAAATGAATGTGTTTCCCTGCAGGTCATTGCCCAGCGTTTGATGCAGTCCAAGCAAACGATACCTCACTATTACCTCTCCATCGATGTCGACATGGGAGACATATTGGTGCTAAGAAAAGAACTCAACCAGGTAATGTGCATCGTGGAGGGTTGCAGTGGATATTCCGTAAAAGGGAATTTTGGCCTCTTGTCTCATCGGTTTCCCAACCCCCTTTCAATGATTTGTTTCCCCCTTTCAAGTTGTCAACATTTGAGCCCGTTCCGCACTGTGCCTCCTCACCATGGATGTCCCAGCCCTGTCGAGGCTTGCATCTGTTCTTCTAGAACACAGAATTTGTAACTTGAGATGAAAGACTGTAGGGCGGAGAGGCATATCTGTAGAAGCGGATGGGTTTCACACCCCTGGGAGAAGAGCGGCATGCTCTCATTAGGACAGAAGGACAGGAGAAAGACCGAAATCCCTCCCCTTCCCCCATTTTGAGAACTTGGCTTAGGAGAACCATAGAGTTGCCATAGAGTTGCCATGCACAAAAAACACAATCAAAGCTCTCCCAACAGATGGCCATCCATCCTCTTTTTAAATGCCTCCAAATAAGGAAACTGCACCAGATTCTGAGGCAGAGGTTCCCACTGATTAAGGAATCATAGATCATAAGTTGGAAGAGACCTCATGGGCCATCCAGTCCAACCCCATTCTGCCAAGAAGCAGGAAAATCCCATTCAAAGCACCCCTGACAGATGGCCATCCAGCCTCTGCTTAAAAGCTTCCAAAGAAGGAGCCTCCACCACACTCCGGGGCAGAGAGTTCCACTGCTGAACAGCTCTCACAGGAAGTTCTTCCTCATGTTCAGATGGAATCTCCTCTCTTGTAGTTTGAAGCCATTGTTCCACGTCCTAGTCTCTAAGGAAGCAGAAAACAAGCTTGCTCCCTCCTCCCTGTGGCTTCCTCTCACATATTTATACATGGCTATCATATCTCCTCTCAGCCTTCTCTTCTTCAGGCTAAACATGCCCAGCTCCTTAAGCCGCTCCTCATAGGGCTTGTTCTCCAGACCCTTGATCATTTGAGTCGCCCTCCTCTGGACACATTCTAGCTTGTCAATATCTCTCTTGAATTGTGGTGCCCAGAATTGGACACAATATTCCAGGTGTGGTCTAACCAAAGCAGAATAGAGGGGTAGCATTACTTCCCTAGATCTAGACACTATGCTCCTATTGATGCAGGCCAATGATTGTTACTCACCAAAAAGATATAGCTATTTCCCCGTCCTTTGATCTTTTACGTCTTTGCCGCCTGCCTTGTCTTCGCAGGAGATGCCCCAGAACACGAAGCTCTCCGTCAACGACTTCATCATCAAGGCTTCGGCCCTGGCGTGTATGAAGGTGCCGGAAGCCAACTCCTCCTGGCTGGACACCGTCATTCGGCAGTGCGTAGGCTCTCTTAAAAATTCAGTATCTCTTTCCACTAACCGATAGCCACACGTAAGCACACGCAGGCGCTTCTGGAGAGCACGCCAGGTGCCATTGATTATCCCACTTGTTTAAATTGAATGCAATAAGCAGTCGGTGGCATTGCCTTATTGGAGAAGGCTGGATTTTCATGTGAGAAAAGTCTTCCAGGTTTCCAAACATTAATTTCATTCTCTCTCCCCCACCCCCAAATATAAAACAGACTATCATGTGTGTGTGCGTGTGCATACACACACACACACACACACATATGATTGTGGAGGAAGATAAAGTGTGTGTGTGCACGTGTGTGTGTGTGTGTGTATATATATATGAATGAATGATGTATATTTGAAGGGGTGTGTGTGTGTGTGTGTGTGTGTGTGTGTGTGTGTGTGTGTGTATATATATATATATGGGGCGTGGGTGTGTGATTGTATAATTTGGGGGGGAGGCAGAATTACATAAATATGTAGACAAATATGTGTGTTTCTGTGAGTCTTCTGGGCTGCCTAGCCATGTTCCAGAAGCATTCTCTTCTAACATTTGCCCACATCTGTGGCAGGCATCCTCAGAAGTTGTGAGGTCTGTTGGGAACTAGGCAAGTGAGGTTTATATGACTGTGGAATGATTTCCAAGGTGGGAGAAAGAACTCTTGCATGTTTGAGGCAGGTATGAATGTTGCAATTGATCACTTTGATAGCCTTGCAGCTTCAAGGCTTGGCTGCTTCTTGCCTGGGGGAATCCCTTTTTTGAGAGGTGTTTACCTGGCCCTATTTGTTTTTTCTCTGGAGTTCCCCTGTTTTCAGTGTGTTCCTTTTTATTTACTGTCCCAATTTTAGAGTTTTTATTAATACTGGTAGCCAGATTGTGTCCCTTTTCATTGTTTCCTCTTTTGTGTTGAAATTGTGCACATGCTTGTGGATTTCAGTGGCTTCTCTGTGTAGTCTGACATGGTGGTTGTTGGAGTGGTCCAGCATTTCTGTGTTCTCAAATAATCTGCTGTGTCCTGGCTGGTTCATCAGGTGCTCTGCTATGGCTGACTTCTCTGGTTGAAGTAGTCTGCAGTGCCTTTCATGTTCCTTGATTCGTGTTTGGGCAATGCTGCTGCGTTTGGTGGTCCCTCTGTAGACTTGTCCACAGCTCCATGGTATACGGTAGACTCCTGCAGAGGTGAGAGGATCCCTCTTGTCCTTTGCTGAACGTAGCATTTGTTGGATTTTCTTGATGGGTCTGTAGATAGTTTGTATGTTGTGTTTCCTCATCAGCTTCCCTATGTGGTCATTGGTTCCCTTGATGTATGGTAAGAACACTTCCCTTCTGGGTGGATCTTTGTCTTGACTCCCATGGCTTGTTCTTGGTCTTGCAGCTCTTCTGATGACTCTGACAGCGTCTCCAAATATTTGTGTGCTTTTGTATGTATGATAGTTTGTTGTATAGTTTTGGAATATGTACGTGTAATCATATTCCAAAACTATAGATAGTTTCCCTACCTCCTTCCCCAAAAAAGTATACAATACAATATCTATCGACTAAGCTCTTAAGGGGGGGGGGTATCTAATTTTGGGGGACACCCTGTATTTGTATGCGGGGGAAAGGAATTCAAGAGGCCATATATGGGTTGGGCCGGATGGGCCTTGGAGTCAACCTCCAACTCCTTTTTGCTTTCTAGGAACCACGTTGTTGACGTCAGCGTCGCGGTCAGCACCCCAGCTGGACTGATCACCCCGATTGTATTTAATGCGCACACCAAGGGCCTGGCTTCCATCAACCAAGATGTCGTGACCTTGGCAACCAAGGCTCGGGAAGGCAAGCTCAAGCCCCATGAATTTCAGGTTAGGAGACTGTAAGGTAGCCAAAACAAAAGGCACTTGCAAACATTGGCTCTCCAGGTGNGAGGGAGGGCCAAAGAATTGCTATAACACCTATTTCCTTCCAGGGAGGAACTTTCACGGTCTCGAACTTGGGAATGTACGGCATTAAGAACTTCTCCGCCATCATCAACCCGCCCCAGGCTTGCATTTTGGCCGTCGGGGGCTCCGAGAAGAGGCTGGTCCCAGCAGACAATGAAAAGGGGTGAGTATTTAGCATTTAGTACCTCTTTCAAGGAGATTACGGAGTTCATCAAACACAGAAAGTCAACTATCAGCACTGATCGACTATCAGCACTTTCTCCCTCCAGATTCCTTGTTAGTTTTGAGATACTAATGCTTAAATACACAATCCCTTGAGATGAGCAAACTGAAGGCTTGTGGGATTTAAGTGTGTGTTTGGTTTTGTCAAGCCTAGGTTCCTCTGATAGTATCAGCCATAGAGTTCAAGGGTGGATCACCTTGCTTGACACACAGAAGGACCCAGATTCAGTCCCTGCTGCTGGCAGTGAGGACGATGGTTTTGGCTGTTGGAAGTGGCCTCCTTTACTCAGTGCAGGATCTCATCTGTTCAGTCCTGCCCTTTGAAGAAAACTAAACAGCTGTTGCTATACAGTTTGGTCTCTGTTTTACACCCATCCCTAAACAGTGGATTGATTTGAAAACAAAACTTCATTTGGTTGAGATCCTGCACTGAGAGATATATTTCTGGTTCACAGTTATGCATCCAGGAGCTTCTTCTTCAAACCCACTGTTTCATAGCACAGTCCCCCCCCCCCCCCCAATTGAATAACTTAGATTCAAGATGGTGGATTCAACAGGGACAGAAGGGAAGTGATTAAGTGAAGAGGAAGTTGTGAGTTATTTAAATCAGTGTTCTTTAGAAAACTTCCAAGATACCCCTGGCTTATTTTTTTACTGAGGTTCTTGAACAATTTGTTTTTCAGTGCCTTCCTTCCCTCCCTCCTGCTCTGTCCTTCCTTCTCTCCCTTCCTTTTCCTTCTCTCCCTTCCATCTTTCTCTTTTTCCTTCTCTCGTCCTTCCTTCCCCTCTTTTCCTCTCTCCCTTCCTCTCTTCCTCTTCTCTCCCTCCTTCTCTCCTTCCCTCTCTCCTTCCTTCCTTCCGTTCTTCCTTCCTTCCTTCCTTCCTTCTTTCTTTCTCTTTCTTTCTTTCCTTTCTTCTTTCTTTTTCTTTCTTCCTTCCTTCCTTCCTTCCTTCCTCTCTTCCTTCCCTTCCTTCCTTCCTTCCTCCCTCCCTCCCTCCTTCTTCTTCCTTCCCTCCTTCCTTCTCTTCCTTCCTTCCCTCCCTTCCTCCTTCTCTCCCTTCTTCCTGCTGTCCTACCTTACCCCTCTCCCTTCCCTCCTTCCTTGCCTCTCCCTTCTTTCCTGCCTTCCACCTCTCCTTCCCTCCCTCACTTCTTTCCTGCCCTTTCCCCCTCCTTCTCTCCCTTCCTTCTCTCCTTCCTTCCATCTTTCCTTCTCCACCTTCATTCCTCCCTTCCTTATCTCCCTCTCCTCCCTTCTTTCTTTTCCTTCCTCCCTCCTCTCGGTTCTTCCTTTTCTCCTTTCCTTCCGACCCTCTCTCCTTCCATACTTCCCTCCTTCCTACCTTCTTTCCTCTCCTTCTCTCCCTTCTTCCTTCTGTCCTACCTTCTTTCCCTCCCTTCTTCCCTCTGTCTCTTCCTTCTTCCTTCCCTCTATTTCCTTCCCTTCTTCCTCTCTCCCTCTTTCTCTCCTTCCGTCCTTTCTTCCTTCTTTTCCCTTTTCCCTTCTTGGTCATGGCCAGCAAACGACCTGTTGGGATGGGTCTTCCAGGGCTTCAGCCTCAGTGTCCTTTGCTTTTTCCTGCCCAGGTTTGCCACGTCCAGCGTGATGTCGGTGACGCTGAGTTGCGACCACCGCGTAGTGGACGGAGCGGTGGGCGCGCAGTGGCTGGCCGAGTTCAAGAAGCTCCTGGAGAAGCCCTTCACCATGCTGCTATAATCCTCTCTCTCTCCCCAGGCCGCTGGGACTTCCTTGGGTCGCATCACTTCACTCTAAAAGACGCTATTTATACATACATATATATATTTAGGGTTTAGACTTTTAAACAAATGTCCCTTTCTTTATTTTTTAAAAAATACCTATATCTAAATATATATATATTTGTGTGTCTGTGTGTATATATATATATGCACACACATACACAGAGTTGCTGGTAATTTTTATTACCAGTTGTACAGGTTTCAATGGTTTGCAAAAGGCTTCCTGGAGCCGAGTGACAACTCTATTGTGCTTCCTCCAGTTTGCAAACTTTCCCCTTCTAAATAGGCCAAAGTGTTTGAAATCATGTGGAGAGGAACTCGTGCTTCCTTCCGGTCAAAGGAAGAGAGCCCCGCCCGGCAACGGAATGCTCCCCGACATCTCAAAAGAAGACTTATAAAAGCAGAGGAAAATAATATAGAAGCCACATTTGGAACCTCCAGTTCAGCACAACAAGCAAACCTTGTTTGTGTGTTGTGTTCTCCTGGTGTCACAAAGAGGGGGCTAAAACGAGCCTCCGCATTCCAGCTTGTTTTTGGAGACTTATTTTTAAATAGCACTTTACTGTCACTGGGGAGGTTGTGGCAGAAACTATATTGGAAACATTGCTGACAATACCCCCCTCCTTCCTTTTAGTGAACTTCCACAACAGCCATAAAACTTTAATTTTCTTCTCCAGCCAATACTGCTTAACTCCAAATAGATGTCTGTCTTCAAAGTTCAGACAAAATTAAAATATATCAAAACCCGATAGTCTTGAGATGCTGAGTTGCTCTTTATTTCCCGTTCAAATGAACAAGACGAGTTAGTTGTGACTGTTTGTGAAGTCCTCTTCATTTCAGATGGAAGTATAGATCACTTTTCTTGGCGCCAGTGCCATTGTTGTTGTCTTCCCCGCCCCAGCCTTTGTGGAAACACCACAATTTCTTGGGGGACGTTGTAAATAGTGTACAAAAAAGTTAAATCGCTCAAAATGGGTTTTGTTTGCAATTGTCACCCGGATGCATTTACGGCGGCATCCACATTGGGAAATGCCTTCATGGAAAACACTCCCCATGTTTGCTGTCCAGTTTGGATCATGGAATTGCGAAGTGACAGCGAGAGAAATCAGTATGCCCCAAATAATTCTGTACCGTACGCATTACATTCAGTATTGTCTCTTTGTAAAGTTGTGCTACCCGGTAACACTAACAGGTGATATTCCAAGATTATACTGTGGACATTCAATGTTTTCTTTTCCTGAGACGTAACTGATGCGTTCCTGGTTTGGTTGGAGTTAGGCTTAACTTTTGCCGTCGTTGGCAAGGAACAAGTTGCACTTCAAATGTCCTGGAGAGGCCAGGAGTGTTCCATTAAAGGTTTGAAACGAACCGGCCTGCATTTCCTTGTCCCCAGTCTGACTTTCTTTGCGAAATGCTCGGCTTCTCCATTTCAGGAACCCAAATGTGACTGTTCCCCTTTCCTCTTGTGAGGAGAGGGTTGACACATGAGCTTGGCCTCCACTGAATTTTTCGCAGCTTATTTTTAGAACACCAGTTAACTAAAGCCCTGCAGTAAGTGTGTTTGTGTGCTCCTATCTATCTATCTATCCATCCATCCATCCATCATCCATCTCTCCATCCATCTCTCCATCCATCATCCATCTCTCCATCCATCCATCTATCCATCCATTCTTTTATCCATCCATTCATCTATCGATCCATTTATCTATCCATCAGTCCATCCATTCATCCTTCTTTCTGTCTAGCCAGCCGTTCATTCATCCATCCGTCCATTCTTCTGTCTGTCTAGCCAGCCAGCCAGCCACCCATCCATCCATCCACCATTCCACCCATCCATGTGTCCATCTATGTATCCATCTATCTTTCTATCCATCCATTCATCTACCTGTCTATCCATCTATCTGTCCATCAGTCCGTCCATTCATCCTTCTGTTTGTCCATCCATTTATCCATCCATCTATCAACATGTCTATCCATCCTTTCATTTACCTACCTATCTATCCATCTACCCATCCATCCACCTGTCTATTTATCCATCCATTCATCTACCTGTCTATCCATCCACACATCTCTCTCTCTCTCTCTCTATCCATCTCCATCCATCCACATAATAAAAGGGAAATCTGTATGTGCGTATGTGGCTGGGCTGTCCACTTACACCAGTGTTTCTCAACTTGGGGGTCGGGACCCTGTGGGGGTCATGAGGGGGTGTCGGGTTGCCAAAGACAATCAGAAAACACACTATTTTCTGTTGGTCATGGGGTTCTCTCTGGGAAGTATGGGCCAATTCTATCGTTGGTGGGGTTCAGAATGCTCTTTGATTGTAGGTGAACTATAAATCCCAGCAACTACAACTCCCAAATGTCAAGATCCTATTTTCCCCAAACTCCACCAGTGTTCACATTTTGGCATAATGAGTATTCATGTAGAGTTTGGTCCAGATTCATCATTGTTTGAGTCCACATGGCTCTCTGGATGTAGGTAAACTACAACTCCAAAACTCAAGGTCAGTGCCCACCAAACCCTTCCAGTATTTTCTGTTGGTCATGGAAGTTCTGTATCCCAAGATTGGTTCAATTCCATTGTTGGTGGAATTCAGAATGTTCTTTGATTGTAGGTGAACTATGAATTCCAGCAACTACAACTCCCAAATGTCAAGTTCTATTTTCCCCAAACTCCACCAGTGTTCACATATTGCGTATCCGTGCCAAGTTTGGTCCAGATCCATCCTTGCTTGAGTCCACAGTGCTCTCTGGATGTAGGTGAACTACAACTTCCAAACTCAAGGTCAATGCCCACCAAACCCTTCCAATATTTTCTGTTAGTCATGGGAGTTCTGTGTCCCAAGATTGGTTCAATTCCATCGTTGGTGGAGTTCAAAATGTTCTTTCATTGTAGGTGAACTTTAAATCCCAGCAACTACAACTCCCAAATGAGAAAATCAACCCCCCTTCCCAACCCCACCAGTATTTGCTGCTTGTATATTGGGACATAGAAGTGGCAATCTCTTGGCTAGGCAGCACGAAGAGAGTAAAATTAGAATGTCCTTTATCAGCGCCACTTGATCTTTCCTCACATCAAATGCCAACGTGCCTTTCTCACAAGCAGAAGAACTACCAAACCAGACAGGTTTAGCTTTGGGGATTAAGAAGTCCTGTTCCTTCCAAGGTGTTTCTGACATCTAGGGATCCCAAGATGAACCTGTCGTGGGGATTTCTTGCAGGTTTTGTTCCAAGGTTTGCTCGAGTCCGGGCCATCTACACTGCCATCTAATGCAGTTGTCATACAAGTTAAACTGCATTTTATGGCAGTGTAGATGGGGGTTGAGAGAGAGTTGGCCAAGGTAATTCCAAGGCTAAGATGGCATTCCAAGCCTTTGCCCCAGAGGCCTAGTCCAATCCTCGAGCCACTTTTTGCCATGCTGGCTCTCCATAACAGCACTATTAAAAACCATTGCTTTATTTCCCTTCCCTATGTAGCCCCAGTGGTGCAGCGTGTTAAACTGCTGAGTTGCTAAACTTGCTGACTGTAGGGTCAGTGGTTTGAATCCAGGGAGTGAGTTGAGCTCCTGTTAGGCCCAGCTTCTGTCAACCTAGGAGTTTAAAAACATGCGAATGTGAGTAGATCAATAGGTACCACTCCAGCGGGAAGGTAACAGCCCTCCATGCAGTCATGCTGGCCACATGACTTTGGAGGTGTCTATGGACAACGCCAGAGCCGCCGGTAGCGCAGTGGGTTAAAGCGCTGAGCTGCTGAGCTTGTTGACCGAAAGGTCGCAGGATCAATTCCGGGGAGCGGTGTGAGCTTCTGCTGTCAGCCCTAGTTTCTGCCAACCTAGCAGTTCAAAAACATGCAAATGTGAGTAGATCAATAGGTACCACTCCAGTGGGAAGGTAATGGCCCTCCATGCAGTCATGCCAGCCATATGACTTTGGAGGTGTCTATGGACAATGCCGGCTCTTCGGCTTAGAAATGGAGATGAGCACCAAACCCCAGAGTCGGACACGACTGGACTTCATGTCAGGGGAAAACTTTGACCTTTACCTATGTTGCTGAGGAGCCGTTGGTGGTGCAACGGGTTAAACCGCTGAGCTACTGAACTTGCTGACTGGAAGGTTGGTAGTTCGAATCTAGAGAACGGGGTGAGCTCCTGCTGTTAGCCCCAGCTTCTGCAAACCTAGCACTTCGAAAACAATCAAATGTGAGTAGATCAATAGGTACCACTTGGGTGGGAAGGTAATGGCGCTCCATGCAGTCATGCTGGCCACATGACCTTGGAGGTGTCTATGGACAACTCTGGCTCTTCGGCTTAGAAATGGAGATGAGCACCAACCCCCAGAGTCGGACAAACTGGACTTCATGTCAGGGGAAAACCCTGACCTTTACCTATGTTGCTGAGGAGCCGCCGGTGGTGCAGCTGGTTAAACTGCTGAACTACTGAACTTGCTGACTGGAAGCTTGGTAGTTCGAAAGCTTCACCTATGTAGCTGACCACTGAATGTTTCTCTCCATAAAGCACAGCTGAAATGCAGAAAGTTGAGAGTAGTAGAGCTTTATTGTCTTTTTTAGCATCTCAATGAAGTTTGTTTTAATTATTACTTTATCGCGTTTCTATGGGCAGCAGAAATCATACGTTAAAGATAGTGTTTTAAGACATTATGTTAGTGCTGGATTTCAGTTCTGTACTTCGGAAGGGATTTTTGTCCAAAGGGCACTTGGAATTCCTGCCGCACGGCACATCAGAGTTAATATGAAGGGGTGCAGGATCTTGTGTAGAGGGAGAGAGATCTATACATAATACGCCACGACTTCACTTTGGACGCACAGGCATCGTGATCACCAGCACACCTTTCTTTTTGTGAAACGTGGCTGCTGTGGCTTCTTCGTTCACCACTTCCGGAAGGTCCAAGCACAGCCTGTATTTGTCGAGGCATTCAATCAGGACGTCATCCTAAAGAAGGAAGGGAAGGCAGTTCTCACAGGCCCAAAGGTGTTGGGAATGGCCAGAAAGCAAAGGAATTGCTTGTGTTCCCTTAAATCAAATCTGCCATTTGCTGTCGAATGTCATGCGCAACGGCAAAAAATGCACTCTTTGTAATTTGGCCAAAAGAGGTGTGCATTACAGTCGCTGCCTGCTTAGAACTCCTTTCAAAACAAAAATGTTAGGACACCAAAGCTTCCAGCAATGGGAAAAAAGCCAGTATTTAAAAAGTCTAACATTAGGACAGTAAGTAAAGAACAACAGTAAAAACAAAAATGGGAATTCCAGACAGGAAACAATCAGGGCAAACCTCCCAACAGGATTCTCTTAGGCAGGAAGCAGCCAGGCTTTGAAGCTGCAAGGTTATTCAATACTAATTAAGGTGGTCAATTGCAACATTGCTGCCCGCTTAGAACTCCTTTCAAAACAAAAATGGAAACAGAAAAGCAAACCAGTATTAAAAAACTAAAACTGGGACAGTAAATAAAGAGCAACACTCAAAAAACGAGAATTTTAGACAGGAAACAATCAGGGCCAACTAACATCTCGTCACAAAGGATTACCCCAGGAAGGAAGCAGCCTGGCTTTGAAGCTGCAAGGCTATTCAATGCCAATCAAGGTGGCCAATTGCTACATTCACACTTGCCTCCAGCAGACAAGAATTCTTTCTCCCACCCTGAGCATAATTCCACAGATATATAAACCTCACTTATCCTAGTTTCCAACAGACTTCACAACCTCTGAGGATACCTGCCATAGATGTAGGCGAAATGCCAGGAGAGAATGCTTCTAGTCCAAAAAGCACAGCAACTTGGAGAAAGAAAACCTTGGGGTGCCTTTCTGCTGCAGAATGAGCTTTGGTTCAATGCTATGGAGTTATGGAAGCTGTAGGTTTACAAAGTCTTGAGCCTTCCTTGCCAAAGAAAGCTGATGTCTCACCAAACTACAAATCCCAGGAGTGTATAGCATTGAGCCTTGGTAATTAAATTAGATCATGAGATGCCTCAATTGGGGCTCCTGAAGCAGATTTCCTTTGCTTTGGTTCAGAACTAAGATGAGCATATGGCACAAATCTAATGCTCACCCTCATTTTGGTGAAAAAGGTGAGCATTAGATAAGAAATAGAGTAAGGGGGAAGTGGGATGGACTCGCCTTGGAGACGCGGAGGTCGCACTCGGAGACACTGCACACCTCGGGCAGTTCCACTCTCAGCTCGATCACTGGATCCCCGTTTGCGCCCTTCGTGGTGGAGATTTCATAGGCCAGCATTAAGGATCCCTGATCTTCCGCGCAAGGAATCTCTTCAATGAGGAGCCCTGCTTTAGCGGGCGCCTGGTCCTTCCTCAGAAGAAGGAAGTCCTTCCTCTCCTCTTCCTCCTCTACAATGTTCCTCAGCTGGTTGAGCGTCATATCTTCCCAACACCAAGTTTAAAACATCAAAAAGCATTAGGTCATAACAGATCAGAAGTACCCTCTCCTAAATTAGAAGATAAAGTAATTACTGGGAAAAGTAACTGTTACCTTTTGGGGACAATGCTGCTGGCACCTGCTCTCTTCTCAAGCTCTGCCTCATCCTTTCCAGGCTTCCTTTTAGTTTACATTTCAAAGTACTGTAGGAAGGGGACAGAGTGACACTGTAATGCTCCTCAATGTACTTCAGGCACAGGCGGATCAACTGGTCCTTCTCTTTTGGGTCATTTCTTCCCTTCTCCAGAACGGATGGATGGAACGCAACATCGATGATGCTGTAAGGCCCTGTGAGAAGAATGAGGGAAATGGCTGGAAAATGTGAAGCCTTCAACTGGCTCAAGAACATTCTTTCGATACTGGCTTTTGGGTTTCACCTTTCCCTCCCAATACCATAGAATCCTAGAGTTGGAAGAGACCACATGAGCAATCCAGTCCAACCCCTGCTAAGAAGCAGGAGAATTGCATTCAAAGAACCCCCGACAGATGGCCATCCAGCCTCTGTTTAAATGTCTCCAAAGAAGGAGCCTCCACCACAGTCTGGGGCAGAGAGTTCCAACTCTGAACTGCTCTCACAGTCAGGAAGTTCTTCCTCATGTTCAGGTGGAATCTCCTTTACTGTAGTTTGAAGCCAATTTCCATGTCCTAGTCTCCAAGGCAGCAGAGAAACAAGCTTGCTCCCTCCTCCCTATAACTTCATATCTCTCTGCACTCTTCAATATATTTGAGATAATGCTGCTAGAGACTTTTGCTCAAAGCAATACTGACCAGATTTATCAGACACCTCCTCCATTTTTCCAGCGGTTAGTGGGACCCGTTCACACGCCGATTGGGGAGCGGGGACTCTATTCCACGCGCAGATATTAACAAACAAGGTTTTTGCAGTGGTATTGTCCTGCAAAAGAAGTCCAAAGCGACCTAATGAACATAGTGCTCATCCTTCATTTCAACAGCCAAAGTTACACATACATATATCTGAAAGACTAATGTATATGTTGCTTCCTTCCCCCATGAGATGAGGAACATAAATCTACCAATGAACTGATTGTATTTACTGGCTAATATTGATGGTGTTGGATACAGATTTTGTATCCTTGTTGGGAAAAGGAGAACTGCATGATTGAAGTTTCATCCATTTGACCCAACTCCAGTATAGAACCCAATGAAAAAAACAAACACAGCCCTTTGTAACCAAACTGTACCAAAATACATCTACATATACCCTATTTACTTGAATCTAATTCTCACCTTTTTTGGCTTAATTGCCCTGCCAAAATGATTGTGCGCATTAGATTCGCGTCAGATGGTCATCTTAGTGCTGAGCCTAAGCCAAAGGGGAAGCTTCTTCAGGAGCTGCACATGGAGTTCCTCTTTGAGGGATGTCCTCTCTCATTTAATTGCATAGACACAATGCTGTGTAAGCCTGGGATTTGTAGTTTGGAGAGACATCAGCATCTTTTGGCAGAGAAAGCTCAAGGCCTTGTCAAACTACAGTACCCATGACTCCATAGCATTGAACCAAGGCTGTTAAAGAGGATTCATTCTACAGAAAAGATGCAACCAAAGCAGAAGTGTCAGGACACCAAAGTTTGCGGGAAACTTTGGTGTCCTAACACTTTTGCTTTTAAAGAAGGAATGCCAAGAAGTACATTATATTCTGCGGGAATTCCAAGTGCATTGCATTCTGCTGCATTTTTTTTTTTTGGTTTCAAGATTTTGAAAATTCAATTTGATGGCACATGAGACTTGAGTAAATACAGGTATGTGTTAGTCCAGTGATTGTCCACTAAACTGCTAATTTATGAGCCATTGGTTGTTTTCCCTATGTTTTGGGGAAATGCAATCATAATCCCATGGGATAGATGCGATCTTGGTCCCTTACACACTGCAGTTTGTTTTGCTGCTTCCCTATTTTGCTCTATGCCTTTAAGCATCCTAGACCTTGGAGGGTCTGCCAAACAAAAATGGAAACCAGATGTCCTCAGGGTTTCATCTTCTTACCTTCCTGTGAGCCTTCAGGCAGAGATGGGGCTCCGGAGGGGCAAAGTGCTGCTGGGCCTCCTTCATTTGCTGCTGCATGAACTGGCGGTACTCTCCTGGGTGGCTCTCGGCTAAATCGTCCAGCATTGTCCACAGTTGGGCCGCTTTGCCCAGCATGTCCTCCTTCTCCATTGCAAATGGATTAGATAGAGACCCAAAGTGACCTCGACTCTCACTGGAAAAGAAGGGGGGACGTTGGTATTTGTCCTATCCAAAAGGTTCCCAATCCATCTGAACAAATTTTACCCAAATCAAAAAATTCCCCCTATAAGTAAAAAACCTCTAAAGGATATGCATCCTTTGGCTTTCAAAAGGAATTTCCCAAGCCTTTTGGCCTCATTTCTAAAATTCTCCTCTGAGCCAGGAAAGTGCTGTCATCAAGAACTCATTTGTACATATGATTATCATAAATTTATTTTATATAATGTTAGTGTGTGTGTCTGTGTGTGTGTGTGTATAGTGGTATAGTAATATAGTTCAATATAATAATAATAATAATAATAATAATAATAATAATAATAACAATAATTGTATATTATATATTACCTGTAATATTACTAATAATATTGCAGTATAGTGGTATAGTACAACATAGTAATATATAATACTAATATTGTGCTATGCTAATAATATAATATATTGTGTGTGCATATATATATACACACACACACACATACTATTGATAATATTATAATGTCACACAATATAATACTAATAATAATACAATATATTAAATACATGTAGTATTACTAATAGTATTTCAATATAGTGGTATAGTACAATATAGTAATATATAATACTAACATTGTGCTATGCTAATAATATAATATGTTGTGTGTGTGTATATATATATATAATATTGATAATTTTATAATGGCACAATATAATACTAATAATAATACAATATAATAAAATACATGTATTATTAATAATAGCATTGCAATATAGTGGTATAGTACAATATAGCAATATATAATACAAATATCGTGCTATGTTAATAATAATTGTGTGTATATACATATATATATATAATGCCATACAATATAATAATACAATATAATAAAATAGATGTATTATTGCTAATAATGTTGCAGTGTAGTGGTATAGTACAATATAGTAATATATAATACTAATATTGTGCTGTGCTAATAATATAATATATAGTGTGTGTGTGTGTGTATACACACACACACACACACACACATATATAATATTGATGATATAATGCCATACAATATAATAATACAATATAATAAAATACATGTATTATTACTAATAATACTGCAATACAGTGGTATAGTACAATATAGTAATATATAATAGTAATATTGTGCTATACTAATATAATATATATATATATTGTGTGTGTGTGTGTGTGTATATATATATATATGATATAATAATGTCACACAATATAATACTAATAATACAATATAATATATATAATAATATAATGCCATACAATATAATAAAATAATCCAATACAATATATAATAATACAATATAGTAATATATAATACTCATATTGTGCTATGCTAATAATATAATATATTGGATGTAGATATAATAGACAACAGTAATATTATAATAATGTCACACAGTATAATAGTAATAATAACACAATATAATAATATACACCAGTAATATTGTAAATATTGATAATATAATGCCATACAATACTAATAATAGCACAATATAATAAAATACATGTATTATTACTAATAATATTGCAATATAGTAGTATAGTACAATATAATAATATATAATACTAACATTGTGCTAGGCTAATAATATAATATATTGGTGTAAATATATATATATATATATATATATATATATAATGTTGATATTATAATGTCACACAATATAATAGTAATAATAACACAATATAATAATAGACAACAGTAATATTATAATAATGTCACACAGTATAATAGTAATAATAACACAATATAATAATATACACCAGTAATATTGTAAATATTGATAATATAATGCCATACAATACTAATAATAGCACAATATAATAAAATACATGTATTATTACTAATAATATTGCAATATAGTAGTATAGTACAATATAATAATATATAATACTAACATTGTGCTAGGCTAATAATATAATATATATATTGTGTGTGTGTATATATAATATTGATATTATAATGTCACACAATATAATACTAATAATAATATCGCAATATAATAATATACAGCAGTAATATTGTAATATAGTGCCAATCCTTCCTAAACCTGCCCAAGGCAGGCAGAGGCAGCTCCCTTGTTTACCTAGGCAGTCTCCATGGCAACGGCCGGAAGCACCTCCCCCGGAAGCGGAAGCGCGGCTCAGAGAAGAAGGAGAGAGAGAGGAAGGAAGAAGGAGAAGGCGGCCTCGTTGGAAGGGAAGCCCAAGAGTTGGGAAGAGGAACGTGAGGATGGCTGCCTGCCTCTGACGCGTGTTCTGAGGGGGATCCTGGTGAGGAGGAGGAGAGGGAGGAAGTAGATATGCTTCTGTCCAAAAAATGGGATGGGATAGTCCTGATGTATTCCCAGCTGGAAGTCCTCCCTCCAAGGATTCTCCCTATGCCAGGATTGGAAGGGGTTTTGCTTCCCTTGCATTATATATTATCAGTAGAGATATATCTATCTATCTTTTAGTGGGGAAGGATTTTATATATGTGTGTGTATGTGTGTGTATACTAGCGGTCCCCTGCCATGCGTTGCTGTGGCCCAGTCTTTTGATCTGGAAAATAAAGTAATGAGAAAGTGTTTTGTTTTCTAATATATGTAATGTCTTTCTGCTTGTGGGCAAACACTATTTCTTGCTGTTAGTTTGTCAGTGTTGATGTGGAGAGTGTCTGGGTTGCCTCCTCTGGAACATGCAACATATAATTCTCCTTCTTTAGGGGTCCCTTTCAAATCTATGATACTGCATCTATCATATACATATGTGTGTGTGTATGAATGGCTGGATGGCCCTTTGTAAGGAGGGCATTGATTATGTTTTCTTGCCCTGGTGAAGGGAGTTGGACTGGATAGCCTTAAGGCAGCATTTCTCAACCTGGGAACTCAAGACCCCGGAGGGGGGTCACCAGGGGGGTGTCAGAAGGGTCATAAGAGACCACCAGAAAACATAGAATTTTCTGTTGGTCATGAGGGTTCTATGTGGGAAGTTTGCCCCAATTCTGTCATTGGTGGGGTTCAGAATGCTCCTTGATTGTTGGTGAACTATAAATCCCAGTAACTACAACTCCCAAATGTCAAGGTCTATTTCCCCCAAACTCCATCTGTGTTTATATTTGGGCATACTGAGTATTTGTGCCAAGTTTGGTCCAGTTCCATCATTGTTTGAGTCCACAGTGCTCTCTAGATGTAGGTGAACTACAACTCCAAAACTCAAGGTCAATGCCCACCAAACGCTTCCAGTATTTTCTGTTGGTCATGGGAGTCCTGTGTGACAACTTTGGTTCAATTCCATCATTGGTGGAGTTCAGAATGCTCTTTGATTATAGGTGAACTATAAATCCCAGCAACTACAACTCCCAAATGACAAAATCATAATTTTTTGAGTGATGGTCACTCCTTGTGTTGTGAGACGTTTGTTGCCAAATTTGGTGTGATTTCGTTCATTGGTTCTTTTGTTTTTAAGGTACTCATTATGCACAGAGCATGTTTATAGATATAGAAGATTGTCATTTTGGAAGCTTAAGTTTCATTGTGTTTACAGAATAAATGTGGTAAATAAATAAATTATATATAGAGAGAGAGATACACAGAGAGAAATACACACACACACACTTGCCATACATATATAGAGAAACACACATTATTATCATCATCATCATCATTGTATTTATTCATACCCCACTCAGTGGCTATACACACACATACACGTATCCTTCCAGATACATTATACTACTTATCTCATCTAGGATTTTTAAATATTTTAATCCTTGCAACCGGCCCTGCCCATCGTGATCAATTATTGTGATTTTATATTGCATCTTGTGTTTATTTTGTATTGTTCATTTATTATTTTTATTGTATTTTATTGATGCATTATTTTATGTTGTTTATTTGCATTGTTGTAATTGTTGGGCATGGCCGAATGTAAGCCGCCCCGAGTCCCCTTGGGGAGATGGTGGCAGGGTGTGTGTGTGTGTGTGTGTGTGTGTGTGTGTGTGTGTGTGTGTATATATATATATATAGAGAGAGAGAGAGAGGGAGAGAGAGAGAGAGAGAGTCTATTGCATGTATATGAGTATATGAGTCCCCTTTGGGGTGAGAAGGGCAGGATATAAATGTGGTAAATAAATAAATTATACACACACACACATACATCTACCATATATCTCCCCAAGGGACTCGGTGCGGCTTACAAGAGGCCGAGCCCACAATACATCAATAATAAAAGCAATAACAAACAACAATACAAAAACGGTTAAAATAAATCTCATAAACAAAAAATAAGCAATAAACATTGACAGTAGCACAACAAACGTTTAAAAACCTATGGCTATTATTATTGTCATCATTATTATATTTATTCATACCTCACTGAAAGTCGCTACACACACACACACACATATATTGGTGGAGGTAGATTGTGTGTGTACACACACTTGCCATATATACAGACAGACACATACTTGCTGTTGTTGTTGTTGTTATTATTGTTATTATTATATTAGGAGCCCCCGGTGGTGCAATGGGTTAAACCCAAATGCTGCCAGGACTGCTGACTGAAAGGTCTGCAGTTTGAAACCGGGGAGTGGGATGAGCTCCCATCTGTCAGCTCCAGCTTCACATGCGGGGACATGAGAGAAGCCTCCCACAGGATGGTAAAACATAAGGTGTCCCCTGTGCTTCGTCCTTGCAGATGACCAGTTCTCTCAAACCAGAAGTGACTTGCAGTTTCTCAAGTTGCTCCTGACACAAAAAAATTAATATATTTATTTTTGCCTCACTTTATTTCCCCAAAAAGGACTCAAAGTAGCTACACACACACACACACACACACACAAGTCTATTGTATACTTTTTGAGGGGGAGGATAATATATATATGCTTGTACATATGGCAGCTATATGTGTGCGTACGATAATGTGTGTGTATGATAGTGTATGGTAGATATATGTGTGTGTATGATAGTCTGTTGCATACTTTTTCGGTGGTAAGAATTATATAAATAGGTAGATAAATGTGTGCGCATTATAGACTTGTATAGTTTTGCGATATGTGTGCGTGTGTATATATATGTTTATATATTTGTAGATTTTAAATTGTATTGAAATGCTTTTAATGTAAGCTGCTGTGAATCTCCTTGTGGACAGAAAAAACGGGGTATAAATAAACATAATAATAATAGGGATCCCCTATATAGATAGACAGTCTGTCCCCCCCCAAAAAATTGTGCAACAGAATATCTATCTCCATAATTATGAGTTCTTATCCAATTTTGGGGGTACACCCCATATTTCTATCCAGTGGAAAGGAATTTGGGATGCCATATGTAGGCATCCCTCTCTCTCTCTGCCTCTCCCCATAGGCCTGTTTTGTTCTCATGGCAGCCCCATTTGGGAGTCCTGCTGGGAGAGAAGCACTGGCCCAAGGCAAGCATTAGGGAAACCATGCAAACACGTCATGCAAGCGTGCACCTCCCAAACCGCTGCTGCACAATGGGGGCCTTGATGCCTTGCGAAATAACACACTCCATTCACCTGGAATAATCAGAATAATCGGTGCTCCTTTCACAGCAGAGTGACAAATAGCACCATTATGAGAAGAGAAGAGGGCAGGGTTCTTAAAGGACAACTTCTCTGGTGTTGCATCAGCTTTGCTTTGCTTTGCCATTGGCTCAGAGAATTTCAGCTACAGGGTGATGTCGTGTCAGGAGCGGCTTGAGAAACTGCAAGTCGCTTCTGGTGTGAGAGAATTGGCCGTCTGCAAGGACATTGCCCAGGAGATGCCCAGATGATTTGATGTTTTTATCATCCTTGTGGGAGGCTTCTCTAATGTCCCCGCACAAGGAGCTGGAGCTGATAGAGGGAGCTCATCCACCTTTCCCCGGATTCGAACCTGTGACCTGTCGGTCTTCAGTTTTGGGCTTAGAAATGGAGATGAGCACCAGAGTCCCAGATGCCATCAATGCATGGCATTGATGGATGCTTCCTTGTATTCCTCTCTTTCCATGTCTCAGATCCAAGAAGAGTCAGAAATGTGGAAAATACGGGAGATGTAGAAGCAAAGCAAAGACAGGCACAAAGGTTTAACCCACTGCGCTACAGGGTGATAATACAGGGTGATAATAAAGGGCAATAGGAAAGCAGAGTTATCCCAAGGAATGCTCAGTTAATGAGTCTAGCTTCCCTTTTATTTGATCAGTTTATGATTTTACTGTATTGTCAAATAGCCCAAGCTATGGAGAAGGAGAGGTGGAGAGTCAGCTTCCTAAAATTTTGGTGCATTTTATTATAAATCTGCAACCTGTCTTCTTAAATGAATCCCATTCTCAGCTCCAAAACTGTTCCTGTGTCAGGTTTTGAAGAGGGTTTGCTTCCCTTGCATTGCATATTATCAGTAATATATATTATATAATATAATATAGATAGGTGGGGGAGGATTATATTTATGTGTGTGTGTATAATATATATAAAAAGGTAAAGGTTTTCCTCTTGACATGAAGTCTAGTCGTGTCCGACTCTGGGACTCTGGTGCTCATCTCCATTTCTAAGCCCAAGAGCCGGCGTTGCCTGTAGACACCTCCACGGTCATGTGACCATGGGCATGACTGCATGGAGCGCCGTTACCTTCTCGCCAGAGTGGTTGATCTACTCATATTTGCATGTTTTTGAACTGCTAGTTTGGCAAAAGCTGGGGCTAACAGTGGGAGCTCACCCTTTTCCCTCCTCTGTTGACACCTGATAATGTTTTCCAGTGTAAAGGCATGTTAGAGCAACACAAGGCACTGAATTATGATGGCGTGAGACTCAGAGTGGCTCACACTAAAACCCAGGCAGTGTTTACTGGTCTACATATTTTTCTATAACTGCTACTTATTGCTTGCAGGGTGTTTGTGCCATCCCTTTGATGACTCCGGCTAAACGATGTCCCACGTCCCTTTGGGAAAAGTCCTGCTGCGCAATGTCATCCGACACACCGGCGCGCACAACAAGGTCGGGAACGGTGACTATTATTGTCAGCCAGGATTGTGATGCTACGTTGCAACACAACCCTGCTTTACTCCCTGAATGTTTTATTCCATGAATACTACTGTTTTATACAAAGCTACAAGAAGCATGGCATTGATGGATGCTTCCTTTTATTCCCCTCTTTCCATATCTCAGATCCAAGAAGAGTCAGAAATGTGGAAAATACGGGAGATGGAGAAGCAAAGCAAAGACATTTATTGGGGCAAGCAACCGAGAATGCTGCCGAAAAGTTCCAGGTGGGTTTTCCTCTTGGATACTTTTGACTCCTGTCTCTAATTTACAAACTGCCTTGTTTTGATCAAGAGCCGTCACTTAGTCCAAGTTGGGGGAGTTAGATTGTTCCCTTTTTTGTTGTTTATCTACTCCACTTTCTATAGTTCTTTAGGTCTGTTTTAGTCTCTTTATAATGTTTAGATCCATGAATACTACAGTTGTGTCTGGATCTGAAGCTTTCTAGTGAAGAAATTACCTCACGAACAGAGTGGGAAGGCTTTATTTCTAAAAGCATACAGTGTGGTACCAAACAAAATTCCAACTGACAGTTTCCCTCACACCTGCTATCCCTCACCCTGGCTCCTCCCTTTCATTGTTCTCATTTCCATGGGAACCCTTTCCTTTGTTTCAAGTATGCACAGGCCAGGGCAGTCTATCTATCTATCTATCTATCTATCTATCTATCTATCTATCTATCTATCTATTTATTATTTCTGGTATTCTACCCCGTCACTTCTATACCCCCGAAGGGGGACTCAGGACGGCTTGGCATAGTCTACTGTTCTGATTCCACACAAAACCAGGAAAGAAAGTCGTGACAGTTGCATAGAAAGCTGTGTATGGCTTCTTCTGTTGATTCAGTGATCAAAGGTCTGGAAAGCATGGATCCCTCTGAGGAATAGCTTACAGAGCTGGGTCTGTTTAGCTTCAGAAGAGAGTCAGGTTTAAATATCAGAAAAGGATGCCATAGGGAACAGGGAGCGGACCTAGTTTTCTGCTGCCCTGGAGATTAGGACTCAATGGAGGCATGGGTTCAAATGATAGGAGATTCCGTCTGAAAATTAGGAAGAACTTGGAATCAAAAAATAATAGAGTTGGAAGAGACCTCATAGGCCATCCAGTCCAACTACCTGCCAAGAAGCAGGAAAATTGCATTCAGAGCACCCCCAACAGATGGCCATCCAGCCTCTGTTTAAAAGCTTCCAAAGAAGGAGCCTCCACCACACTCCGGGGCAGAGAGTTCCCCTGCTGAACAGCTCTCACAGTCAGGAAGTTCTTCCTCATGTTCAGATGGAATCTCCTTTCTTGTAGTTTGAAGCCATTGTTCCACGTCCTAGTCTCCAGGGCAGCAGAAACACTTGCTCTCTCCTCCCTATGACTTCCTCTCACATATTTATACATGGCCCTCATCATGTCTCCTCTCAGCCTTCTCTTCTTCAGGCTAAACATACCCAGCTCTTTAAGCTGCTCCTCATAGGACTTGTTCTCCAGACCCTTGATCATTTGAGTCTCCCTCTGAAAGGAACCAAATTTACCATCAAGTTAGAAGGGAGGTTGTTCAATCGCACCTCCTCCTTTATTAAGGTAGTAATAACTTAGTAGTAATTATACTGTATGTATTGTAGTGTGACTGGAGATAAGAATATAGATCTATTTGGTCACTTTCCCCTGCGTTTCTGCCATCACGTGAGGTAAGTTATAATATTGTGAGAAATGGCACACTGGACGCAGAATTGATGGAGATGAGGCAGTCTTCAAACAAAAGTTAACAAGTTTATTGAGCACAAAGCGTGTGGTTGCAAGTTGTAACTTTTCTTATAGAACTCAGAATAATGCTTGGTTAGTTGAATGTTACACTCTTTCAGGTTATACAGTATCTTCCTGAGGTGAAGCACTTATTACAAAACAAAGTTCCAATACAGGGATGTCTCCCTTATCTGATCCTCCCCTGATCAGATACTTAATAAGCTTATTCTTTAGCCTTTCTTTAGACTAACGGAATACTGGTTATGTTTCCCTTATCAGCCTCTCTAGCCTAAGAAACTTCCAGTAACTTAATCTGGCTTTCCAAAGCCTCGAAACTTTGCTTCACAATTCACTCTCTTACAGCTATAACCTCCTAATCTTTCCTCTATCAATTCCTCACCCTCAAATCTTAACTCCTGACTGCTCACTCCTCTAAACCTAAAACCTAACTGAACATTAACTGTCGTTTTTCAAACTCTCCCCTCTAAGCTCCTCCCACTTCTCTCTCTAGCCTACATCGTCTCCATGGCAACGCACTCCTCTCAGTTAGGCCGCTCCAGCATTAGTGCAGCCAATCTAAACACAAATACAGTTAAAATCATACAATTTATAATCAACTTCTGTACACCCTCTTTCTCTGGACACATTCCAGCTTAGAGTCAATATCTCTCTTGAATTGTGGTGCCCAGAACTGGACACAATATTCCAAATGTGGTCTAACCAAGGCAGACTAGAGCATGGGGAACATGACTTCCCTGGATCTAGACACTAGACTCCTATTGATGCAGTCCAAAATCCCATTGGTTTTTTTTTTACCGCTGCATCACATTGTTGGCTCATGTTTAACTTGTTGAGGCCCTGATAGGGTGCTTAAAGGATTGGTCCAATGTGTTATTTGTGTATGGGGTTGTTATGGCTTAATATGTTTAATGGTTTTAAATGTTTATATATATATATGCTTATTGTTTCTAGTGATTTTGTTATGTTTTATATGATTTGTATAATGAGGCATTGCATTTTTGCTTAGATGTATGTTGTACGCCGCTCTGAGTCCCCTGAGGGGTGAGAAGAGCGGGATAGAAATGAAGTAAGTAAGTAAATAAATAAATAATATTGTCCACGAGGACCCCAAGATCTTTCTCACATGTACTGCTCTCGAGTTATGTGTCCCCCATGGCTATAAGACCGCTTTGAGTCCCCCTCGGGGTGAGATATACAAATACTTTAGGAAATATACAAATACTGTAAGAAGACGAGCATTTCAATAGTGGAACTCTCTGCCTTGGAATCCAGTTGAGGCTCCTTCTTTGGAGGCTTTTAAACAGGCTGGATGGCCATCTGTAGGGGGTGCTTTGATTGTGCCTTTCCTGTATGGGAGAAAGAAGGGTTGGACTGGAAGGCCCTTGGAGTTTCTTCCAACTGTATGATTCTATGACCGTGCAAAAATCGATCCCAACTTCTTGCCTTGTTTGTTTGTTGTGTATGAAGCAGGCCCATTTTTGGTCTCTTCTGTGAAGTCATTTTTTAGCAGCGCTTAACAGACGGGCCTCCAGATGTTTGGGACTTCAGTTCCCTGTGACTTTTGCCCATTCTGACTGATTATTTTGGGTAAGGACAGTCCACAGTCCCATCTGCAGGACCTAAATTGGGGAGAAAGCCTCTCCCTTAGAAGTGGAAGAAAACTTTTGTCTGTTTCTCCACAGCAACCGGATGCGCAGCGACGGGTTTGACGAGGAGCAGGGCAACTGCAAGGCAAGGAACCTGGCCTCCATGTCAGCAGCTGTGGAAGAGGACCTTCGGCACGCCCGATACTGGAACAAGAAGCTCTACGAATACGAAGCCAACATGCCAGACAGGTATGGAAGCTGCACAATGATCGCACCATCAGAGTGAATGATATATGAGGAAAAGTATGTTATGAAACCTTGTATCTTTAGATTTCAACGTTCATGAAATAATCAAATTACTAAGGCAGGCATGGGCAAACTTCGACCCTCCAGGTGTTTTGGACTTCAACTCCCACAATTCCTAACAGCCTAACGGCTGTTGGGAATTGTGGGAGTTGTAGTCCAAAACACCTGGAGGACCGAAGTTTGCTCATGCATGCTCTAGCATGATCTTAACATAATAGGCTTGTTGTTTTCTTGCAGATGGGGACACAGTGGCTATCGGGAGCTGTATCCTGAGGAGTTCGATACAGACAGGTAAGACACACAGACCCCAGACATTCAACCCACTCATTACAGGTGCAACAGAGAATGTCTGCTCCCTTATATCTATTTTTCTGATCTCTTTGCTCTCTGTGTGGGCAAACTTCAGCCCTCCAGGTGTTTTGGACTACAACTCCCACAATTCCTAACAGCCGGTAGGCTGTTGGGAATTGTGGGAGTTGCAGTCCAAAACACCTGGAGGGACAAAGTTTGCCCATGTCTGGTCTAAACCTTTGGAGTTGGGGCAAGGAATATGAAACCCACTGGACTGCAACTTTAATTCCAACTCGGTGTAGATAACACTATGTAAGAAAATTTGAAAATTTATTTTTATTTATTTATTATTTATATTTTTTAATTTTAATTTAATTTAATTTTTTGATTTTCTGTTGTGTTTTTGTGTTATATTGTGTATATTGTATTGATGAGCGTGGCCTCATGTAAGCCGCCCTGAGTCCCCTTGGGGAGAGGGTGGCGGGGTATAAATAAAGTTTATTATTATTTATTATTTATTTATTTACGCTATTTGTATACCGCATTTATCAGCCGTGACCGGCGACTCAATGCGGTTTACAGTAAAAATTGTGCACACTAACAATGTAAAGACAAACATACACAAACGACACACATATAAACATCAACGCCTCACATAAAATCAGATTCCGTTCTCACATTCCATTACCATTCCTTGTTCACATTCCATTACCATTCCTTGTTATTATTATTATTATTATTGGGTTGTTGTAAGTTTTTTTTCAGGCAATATGGCCTGAAAAACCTCACTACCTCTGAGGACCTCACTACCTCTGAGGACCTCACTATCTCTGAGGATGCTTGCCATAGATGCAGGCGAAACATCAGGAGAAATATGCCTCTAGAACAGTGGTTCTCAACCTGGGGTCCCCAGATGTTTTTGGCCTCCAACACCCAGAAATCCTAACAGCTGGTGAAGTGGCTGGGATTTCTGGGAGTTGGAGGCCAAAAACATCTGGGGACCCCAGGTTGAGAACCACTGCTCTAGAACATGGCCATATAGCCCGAAAAAACCTACAATAACCCAGTGATTCCAGCCATGAAAGCCTTCAACATCATCATCACCACCACCACCATCATCATTATTATTATTGTTATTATTCCTGTCTTGAAAGCATTATTTCCTGTTTAATTGTGCAGTCCTTACTTTGTAAGTTGTTGTTGTACTCCAGAAACTTGATTTTTGTGGCTGCCACAAACTAGGTTGCAATTGGTTGAGACTCGATGAGATATTCATTGAAAAACTATCCAAAATGTGCTGCAGGATGTCCCGCAAAAACAATGTTTTTGCAGTTTCATAAATCTTTCCCATGTTTTTTCTGATAGAACCCATTAAGAAATGGTGTTTATAACCCAGGAACAAAAACTGTGTTACATAGTGTAATAGCAAGGGGTGTACTTCAACGCCACATCTACGCTGCCATTGTAATATAGAGTGAATTGCATTTTCTGGTCAGTGTAGACTCATAGTGCTTTGAACTGGATTATATGGCCATATAGTGCAGTTCAACCCCCTGTTGGTGCGGGTTAAATTGCTGAGCTGCTGAACTTGCTGACCGAAAGGTTAGCGGTTCGAATCTGCCAGTGTAGACTCATTTTTTATGCTTTTACAGATTCAACTTGAATTGTTTTTAATGTTCATGTTTACTCATAATGCTTTGAGCTGGATTATATGGTCATATAGTGCAGTTCATCCCCCTGGTGGCACAGTGAGTTAAACTGCTGAGCTGCTGAACTTGCTGACCAAAAGATCGGCGGTTCAAATTTTCCAATATATTCATTTCTATGCTTTTATAGTTTCAACTTGGATTGTTTTTAATGCTCTATGATATTTAATACTGTTTTGATATTTGTATATTTCTATTGGAAGTTAACGTCACAGTGCTCAAGTCTGCAATTCTCAATAAGGAACAGCTAGTTAGCTTTAGGCTAGGCCTGGCATAGGTGCTCCCTGACAAGGGGCAGTGTGTCAAACTGCTGAGCTGCTGAACTTGCTGACCGAAAGGTTAGCGGTTCAAATCGGGGGAATGGGGTGAGCTCCTATCTTCTGCTAACCTAGCAGTTTGAAAACATGCAAATGTTACATCCCAAATAGATTACTGCAACACACTCTACGTGGGGTTGCCTTTGAAGACTGTTCGGAAACTTCAACTAGTCCAATGGGCAGCAGCCAGACTACTCATGGGAGCGTCATATAGGGAGCGTACCACTTTTCTGCTATGTCAGCTCCACAGGCTGCCGATTCAGTTCCGAGCACAATTCAAAGTGCTGGTTTTGACCTATAAAACCCTATACAGTTCTGTCCCAGCATACCTGTCTGAACGTATCTCCTTCTACGTCTCACCTAGGAGTTTAAGATCTTCGGGAGGGGCCCTGCTCTTGGCCCTGCCTCTGTCACAAACACGGTTGGCAGGGATGAGGGACAGGGCCTTCTTGGTAGTGGCCCCCCACCTGTGGAATTCACTCCCTGGGAAAATTAGATCATCTTCATCCCTCCTCACTTTAGAAGGAAATTAAAAATGTGGATGTGGGACCAGGCATTCGGGTAATATATGCAGACTTTGACGATGACAATGAAGACAATTGCTATGGTAACAGATTACCGTCAAGTTTAATGGACTCTATTGAACTCGGCTGGACAATGACCACCAGACAGGTGTTTCTGTTTAGTAGATTTTATTGTATTGACGTAATGGTTTTGATTATTCATAATTAATTGATTTTGATATGCATTTTATTGTGTTTACTTGTAGGCATCAAATGTGTGCTGGCTGGAAGCCGCCCTGAATCCCCCCCAGGGGGTTGAGAAGGGTGGGGTAAAAATGTCTGAAATAAATAAATAAATAGATACTGTTCTGGCGGGAAGGTAACAGTGCTCCATGCTGTCATGCTGGCCACATGACCTTGGAGATGTCTATGGACAACGCTGGCTCTTTGGCTTAGAAATGGAGATAAGCACCACCCCCCAGAGTCAGACGCAACTAGACTTAATGTCAAGGGAAACCTTTAAGGTGCAGTTCAATTTGCATTATAATAGCAGTATAGATGTGGCCCACACCTTCTCTGGAGGCGCACATTCCCCTCGCCACTCTTGCAATGTCATTATTCTGTAATGACGTACTCAGCACTGCTGCCATTTTGTTTTATGTTTTACAGCAATGGAGAGCGAAACGAACAGAACTCTGTGAACGGGAAAAGAAAACGTCACCTCGGCCAGCAGTCTTCCCTTGATTTGCCCCCGAGGAAAAAGCCCAAAAAATCTCACAAGAAGAAGCAGAAAAAGAAGTCCCACAAAAAGCAGAAGAAGAAGAAGCGGAGACGGGAGCAGCCGAGCACGACGCCGGAGTCTTCCTCGGAGTCTGGACCTTCGGAAGGGGAGGGTGGTGCACAAAAACGGGGCCGTCACAAAAGGACCAAGAAGGCCTCGGCCCAGGCTCCGGGCTCTTTCTCAGGACAAGCGGAGAACGACTCTGGCAAAGCCAGCAGCAGCAGCAGCAACCCCTCCAGCAGCTCAGAGGACAGTGGAATGGAGGAGAAGCAGAAGCAGCGGAAAAAGAAAAAGAGGCGGAAACACCACTCTTCTGTGTCAGAAAGAGGCAGGGAACGGGTGCAGGAGAAGCGCAGCAAGAGGAAGAACTGGAAAGTGGCAGCGGATGAAAATTCAGAGGACAGTTCTGATGAGGACTAGCAGGGACTATGCTGAGAGAATAGGCTTTACCCTAAATTTGCTTTCCTCTTGGAAACAGTATGGGTTTGCATTACAGTCCCATTTGGGTTTCACAAACCTTGGAAACTTGCAGGGGACACATTTCACGGGGATCGGAAAGCAAACCAGGACTGCGATGTTCCCACTCAGGGCCCATTTTTTCCCACCCCACGGCATGGTCTGTTCTGCCACAAGAGGAACCCTTATACGGTAAAGTTATGAACATGGTGCAAAAGGGAACATGGAAAACTTGGGGTTAACGAAGTCCCCAAATCTATTTTTTACTGTTCAGTAGGTACAATCTAATTGCAATAAATAATGAAGAAGCAATTGACTGGGTCTCTCCAGAAAGTGGAGGTATTTATTCCCAGACTGTCTTGGTCGCAGACACTTCTCATTTGAGCGAGTATTTCATTCTTGGTTCACATTTGAGAAAATTCTCTTAGGTCCTTCCATCATAAGACAAAATTTACTCCTGCAGTGGTGCCTTCGAAGGAGTAATCCAAAAAGGCCACTGGCTTTGAGGCTGAACTTTACGTACTTTACAAATGCACAACTTTTGTTTCAGTAATCATAGAATCCTAGAGTTGGAAGAGACCTCATGGGCCATCCAGTCCAACCCCATTCTGCCAAGAAGCAGGAATATTGCATTCAAATCACCCCTGACAAATGGCCATCCAGCCCCTGTTTAAAAGCTTCCAAAGAAGGAGCCTCCACCACACTCCGGGGCAGAGAGTTCCACTGCTGAACGGCTCTCACAGTCAGGAAGTTCTTCCTCATGTTCAGATGGAATCTCCTCTCTTGTAGTTTGAAGCCATTGTTCCGCGTCCTAGTCTCCAGGAAGCAGAAAACAAGCTTGCTCCCTCCTCCCTGTGGCTTCCTCTCACATATTTATACATGGCTATCATATCTCCTCAGCCTTCTCTTCTTCAGGCTAAACATGCCCAGCTCCTTAAGCCGCTCCTCATAGGGCTTGTTCTCCAGACCTTTTATCATTTTAGTCGCCCTCCTCTGGACACATTCCAGCTTGTCAATATCTCTCTTGAATTGTGGTGCCCAGAATTGGACACAATATTCCAGGTGTGGTCTAACCAAAGCAGAATAGAGCATGGGGAGCATTACTTCCCTAGATCTAGACACTATGCTCCTATTGATGCAGGCCAAAATCCCATTGGCTTTTTTTGCCGCCACATCACATTGTTGGCTCATGTTTAACTTGTTGTTCACAAGGACTCCAAGATCTTTTTCACACGTACTGCTCTCGAGCCAGGCATTGTCCCCCATTCTGTATCTTTGCATTTCGTTTTTCCTGCCAAAGTGGAGTATCTTGCATTTGTCACTGTTGAACTTCATTTTGTTAGTTTTGGCTGACTTGTTCAGTGGTATTTCAGCGTGCTGGTTTTTGCTCAGGATGATCAATATCCCATCAGAGGAAAAGTCTTCGGGTCCTTCCACACAGCCGTATAACCCAGAATATCAAAGCAGAAAATCCCACAATATCTGCTTTGAACTGGGTTATCTGGGTCCACACTGCCATATATTCCAGTTCAAAGCAGAACATGTGGTATTTTATTCAGCTGTGTGGAAAGGGCCTTATCTGCTCTGTATTTCCTTCTTTGAGAAGTTTTATCCATTATATAAACCAGAGGTCCTCAAACTAAGGCCCGGGGGCCAGACACGGCCCTCCAAGGTCATTTACCCGGCCCTTGCTCAGGGTCAATTAAGTCTGAAATGCCTTGAAAGCACACAACAACAATCTTATCTCAGCAAAAAGCAGGCCCACACTTCCCATTGAAATACTAAAAAGTTTATATTTGTAAAAATTGTTCTTCATTTTAATTACTGTATTGTTTTTACGTGTTTTTAACAGTACAAATAAGATATGTGCAGTGTTCGTAGGATTTTTTTTTCAAATTATAATCCAGTCTTCCAACAGTTTGAGGGACTGTGACCTGGCCCTCTGTTTAAAAAGTTTGAGGACCCCTGATATAAACATAACATCCAGTTCTTCTTTCCAAAACATCACAGTATTGTTGCCTTTCAAATAGGACTCAGTTGAGGAGGTCACTTTTTGGGACATACTGGCTTTAGCTGTAGTACCAAAAAGTGTATTTTCTAAGCACTGGGTTCTTAGCATCCTCATCAAACTACACTTCTGATTTTATCGGACAGATAATACCTTACTCTTCCTTTTATAAAAGATACTTGCAAACTTGGGAGTCTGTTCTTTACCTTTGTCATTTTCCTTATTTCAGTAACTTTTGGCAAGAGCTTTATTTTTGTCAGTCACTCCAACTTGTTGATTTATGGTTGACGAGGCGATAAAACTGGTCCGACACACAGTCATAAAACAATAAACCAATAAATCTACTATATAACCCAAAATATAGAAACTGACACAACTTCTCTTCTGTCTTTGTTTTTGGAGAGGTGTCTAGCATTGTATTGTCAAAGGCTTTCATGGCCGGAATCACTGGATTGTTGTAGGTTTTTTCGGGCTATGTGGCCATGGTCTAGAGGCATTCTCTCCTGACGTCCGCCAAGGCTTTAAAGTTGCTTCTTTTTTGACTTGGGTGATGGTTGGAGTTTTTATGTAGATCTCTATCTGTGTGTGTGGGTTTTCTGTAAAAGGTGTGACCCAATTGTTGATCTGGTTTGCGGATGACTAGGACATCTAGAAAAGGCAGTCTTCCTTCATTTTCTTTTCAGCTAATCAAGGTGGTCAGTTGAAACATTCACACCTAGCTCCAGCAGACAAGAGTCCCTTGTCTCACCCTGGTCATTCCACCGATATATAAACCCTTTTTCATAGTTCCAACAGACCTCGCTACCTCTGAGGATGCTTGCCATCAATGCAGGCGAAACGTCAGGAGGGAATGCCTCTAGGCCATGGCCATATAACCCGAAAAAACCTACAACAACCCATTGTCTATCATTGTAAGGAAGCATGGCGGCCCAACTATGTAAATGCCAGGATTATTGTCCTGTGTTGTGTTACCAGAATATAAAACTTATTTTTGATTCTATTGTGTTACTATAGATTCTATTACTATTTGATTCTATTGTGTTACTATAGAAAGTGAGGCAACTGAAAGTATTTCTTCAAAAAATGACTATTTTTCTTTAATATGGTGTGTATATGTTCAGAGGGTGTTCAAGAATAAACTTAATTTCAGCCCTCGATGTGAAGAGCGTTAGAGATGTATTTCTAACGCTGACACTAATTTCAATACCAATGGAGACCAGTTAGTTGTCATGTTGGTTCAGAATGGATTGAATTAATTTGAAATCCATTCAGTTATTGGTATTCCAGAAAGGCTGGAGGAGGCAAAGAAAATGAGAACTTAAAAGATGAGATTGTTTGGAAAGTTCTAGCACAGATCTAAAAGAATATATCCTCTTTGTGATATATTCTCTTTACAGAAGGATAGAGCTAGAATGGAGAGATGAGCTGCGACGAGCAGGCATGAATTCAAAAATCGTCATGGATGGAAAATGTAGTTTACTCTGCCCTCGAAACAGATACTACATTTACATAAATTTCACTAATTTCAGTAAGTGATCATAAACTAGTAAAAACTCTTGAGAAATGCCACATTCAAGTCACAATCATATTACCACCAACAGTATAATTCTAAATTGTGAGAGGTGACTTCAGTGTGCAGAGATCCAGAGCTGGCCTATGGCAGCTGTAAATCAGCTATTAGAAAGTCAACGACTTCATCAGTGGGTTTGCAAAAGCACAAATCAAAGAAAACAAATCATTTTGGCAGCTCTTTTTGGCTTATTCTCCTGTAGCTGGAGAAAAGGAAAATGAGCAGAGCCTCCACTTTCCAGCATCAGTGTGTTCGTACAGCTCTTCATGATTTATTAATCAGTAACTTGTTTGGCACGATTCAGTTTAAGAGCACTGTTTTCCTAAGGGGACGGTCAGCCATTTCCGTGGTGAGGTAGGATGTCGGTCCAAGGAACGGACGGAGCATCGGCTAATCCGCTGGCCATCAGTGCCCCCCTTTCTGCAAGACCTGCGCAAAGCGGTTGGTGACGGCGAGCGTGGTGTCGATGAAGCGGTTGACGCAGTTGGCCAGGCAGCTCTCTGTCCGGGAGTCCAGCTTAGAACCCGGCTTGTCCACACATTTCTCCCAACAGACCTCCATGAAGTTGTGAACCTAGAGACGCAGGGGGAAGCCATACAGATGTTATCACGGGGGTCCTTCAGGCAGGAGGACTCGGCCTCGGGGGCAACGTCTCACAACCTTGGCCTTGGCACACCTTCCTCCAAGTATTGGATTAAATAAAAGGAGGGCAAGGAAGGTGTTTGCTGGGCGTTGACTCCGAGGGCCCTTCCACACAGCCATATAACGCAGATTATCAAGGCAGAAAATCCCACAATATCTGTTTTGAACTGGGTTATCTGTGTTCACGCTGCCATATATTCCAGTTCAAAGCAGAAAATGTGGAATTTTATTCAGCTATGTGGAAAGCGCCTGAGATTAAATGACCTCTTTTTCCTTTCCCTCATGCTATCCCCCTCTTCTTCCCCCTTTTTTCTTCTTTCTCTTCCCTTCTTTCATTCTTTTCCCCTCCTTCCCATGTTATCACCCTCTTCTTTCTTTTTTACTTCCCTTCTTTCCCTCACACCTTTCCCCCTTTTCCTTCCTTTCCATCATGCTACTCCTCTTCCCTCTTTCTCTTTCCTTCCTTTCCATCATGCTATCCCCTTCTTCTTCCTTTCCCCTCCTTCCCTCTCTCCTTTCTCTTCCCTTCTATCATTCTCTTTTTTCCTTCCTTCCCATCATGCTATCTTCTTCCTTCTTCCCTCTCTCCTTTCCTTTCCAATCTTTTCTTCTCCCTTTCCCCATTCCTTCCCATCATACTATTCCTCTCTTCTTCCTTTCCTTTTCCCTTCCTTCCTATCACGCTATCCCCCTCTTCTTCCCTCTCTCCTTTCTTTTTCCTTCCTTCCCATCATGCTATCACTCCCCTCATTCTTTTCCCCTTCTCTCCTCTTTCTCTTCCCTTCCTTCCTTTCCATCATGCCACCCCCTCTTCTTTCTTCCCTTTTCTCCTCCTTCTCTCCTTTCTCTTCCCTTCTATCATTTCCTTTTTCCTTCTTCCTTCATGCTATCTCTCCTTTTTCTCCCCTCTCCTTTCTCTTTCATTCTTTCCTCCTTTCCTTCCTTTCCATCATGCCACCCCTTCTTTTTCTTTCCCCTTTCTCCTCCATTCTATCATTCTCTTTTTC